AATGTCTATATGCATATTCCAATATTTTATAATGAACAAAACAAAAAAAAAGAGATTCATGAAATACAAAATAACATATGTGTATTTTTGTTTTTTTACTCGAACAATTGTTCATATGTGTTATTCATTAATCGAAGTCATATTCTTTTTTTTTTCAGCTAAAACTATGTAATTAAATGATCAAAGCTAAGAATAATAACAAATTGTAGACGTCAAAAAAATATTAATTATGAGATTATAACGGCGCCTCTTCTTTTTTTTTTTTGTTTCTGCTCTATTAAACAATCGTCAATCACTATCATATTTTTACTTGAATGATGTAATAGATCATCTATTGAATGAATATAACAACTATTTTCTTACATAATCCTATTAGCTTAAATTCCTTGATAGAATCAATCATTGATTGATTATTTTTATTTTTTTCTCTTTTCTCGATTAAAATTCTTACTTGTGTATGATGAAGATGCATTTTAAATTTTTCAAAAAATAACCATCGTTTAGCTTCATCAAGATCAAGATCATGAAAAAAATCTCTTGCACAAAAACCAAATGAATGAAATTCTAAATTTGGTGTTAAAAGTATTGTTGTTGGCGTTTTTTGATTAATTACACCTATATTAATCAAAAGAAATTTATTATTGAAGAAAAAAAAAAAACAATTTCCGAACCGGGATCATTGCCATCAACTTTTCGCATCATTAAAATTGAATCAATATCTCGTGTAAATGCAAATGCATAACCACTAAAGGTTGTACCAAAATCAATGGCTACAACAACAAAATGTGAATTTATTTTTTTATGATAATTTATTGATGATTCATTTCCAGAATCATCTGATGTGACAGGATTTAATGAATGACGATTTATATAATTAGTTGTTGATGGATATTGATATGATGTTGGACCATAGATTGATGAAGAAATATATTTTTGTTCAGAAGATATATGTTCATATGATGAATACGGATAATTATCTGGTAGATTTCGTTCATTTGAAATCTTTATTGATCGAGATTGATTTATATTTATAGATTCAGATGTATCTAAATGAAATATAAAAAATAAGATTTTCTAATAAAAAAAAAAAAAAAAAATTATTTTATCTTACCCATTATTTTGTTTTCTTATGAAGAAAAAAGCAAAAGTAAATAAAATAAAAGATTTGCTAAACTATGGAGATCATAGTATTGTGTGTTTTTCTTTTCTTTATGATTTTTTTAGTAATCGTACACAATATACGAGCAAAATGATTTCTTCGTCGTTTTTTTTTTCTTAGTGAGCTTTAACGTATAAAATAAACATTTATCTTTGGTTACATTACTCGAGAATCGTAGAGACACACAGAGAATGAGAGAAGAAGAAGAAAAAAAGAAGGAAAGAAATACAAAGAGATGCGCAAGACGAATGATCGTTTGTTCGCATATCAGAAGAGAGAACAGAAGAAGAAGTTTATTCCATTCACTGTACAATTCTATCTCATTTCTTTTCCTTTTGTTCTTTTTCTTTGGATATCTCGACCGAACGTAAAAAAAGAAAAAAGTACATAGAATGAGATGACGAGACGCAGCATCGTTTTACAGCTACTAATGCGATGATATTGACAACCAAAAAAAAAAAACAAGAGAGAGAGAATATGAACCTCTTATAAGTATACAAGATGTGCATAGGATGGCAAAGTGATCTCTCACAATCATATCAGATAATATGTTGGATGGCATCTGCACAGCAGCAGATTCTTTCTGTTTCTATTAAAGATAATGATGATCAGATGACTAATCGAGAGAATAAAGATAATTAAGATCGAAAAGTAAGGATTAGACGATGAAAAAAGAAAGACAACATACTCAACCTTTTAACATACTTGTCTATTTTTTTTTCTTTTTTCTTTTTTTCGAACAATAATTGTTTAGACATACATTCAATGATTATATGTTCTCAAATGATAATGTCTATTACATAGGATTAAAGCTCGAATTTAAACCTCCTAGATCAATTGCTTTTCTTCAAATAAAGAGAAAACTAAAAAAAAAATAAAACTTTTTCTTTCTGTCTTTACTTACTTGTCTCAGATAACTCATCACTATTATTGTTGTCATCTCTGTCATATGTATATATTGTTTCTTCACGTAAAACATAATATGTCTTTGTTAAAAGTATCGATGGTAATACCATAATATCATTCATTTTTGTATTATTTAACATATGTAAGATGAGAAAGAAATATAATAATGAAAAACGAAATTGATCATATCATATCGTTGTCTTATAAACTTGAAACTAGATAAGACGTTTTTCTTTTTTTGGTTATTCTTCTATATTTAAATCTAATATATATGAAAGAAACGACAAGAATATCATTAAATATTATCGAGTTATAGAAAAAAATAAAAACAAAAAGAATAATCTTTATATATAGACATCTACAGATAAATGATGATGATGATGAAGAAAAAATATATGTAGTTAATATACAAAAAAAATCAAAGAACAATACATGAAACATAATAGTTTATTCTTTCTCTTTTACTATATAGTGTTATCCATTGGTCTGTAAAACTCAGTATGATATACAACATAAGCAATAAATATCTCGAATCCATCAATAGTCAATGATGTAATATCAGCAGATCAATTCTTCTAGTAAAAAGCATTCATACACAATAGATAACAATCATATAAAATTCATCATTCTATTCAGAATAGATTTATTTAGTTTGAAGGAAAAAATAAATAAAAAAAAAGAACGACTTTATATGATACGAGTAATAAAAATCTAACAATTACCTTAATATTTAAATTCTCAATTATAATAATAAATTTTTCTTTTTTTCTCATGAAAGTATTTATTGTTTACCGTTCTATTACCATAATTTAGTAGCAGTATCAAATTTAAACAAATATATGTCAATAAAGAAATGTAGCCATGAAGTTTTCAACACATATGCCTCTGCTTATACATATCATCAATCGATCAACAATATTGTATGTCGATTATATGCTGTTGCTGTCATCATCATTGTCATTAGATGTTCTTACCTAGCTCAAACATAGTCAATGATCTTGACATATGCATTTATTTACACGTCACATTACAAAGCCAGATGTATTATCATAGAGATTTTTTTTTTTCTTTAGTTTGATTGATTTTCTTGATGAGGTATGTCCAAAAATAATTATCAAATTACTTATAATGAATAATTTTACTTTAAGCGATTTGTCCGAAATATTAGACAAAAAAAAAATGTACAATTGTCAAATTGATATGTAAGATTAGAATTTGACAAATGTATTTTCTTGTTCTTATTAATTATATATCATAAATTATAGATTTTTAAAAATCTTGTGCAATTTCTTTTTCATGATGACAATTATTTATATAAATGATAATATTTATCATTAATCTTTTTATTATATTTACATTATACAAAAAAAAAAATTTTTTTATCTGAAAAAAAGTTGAGTAGTTTTTTTCTTTGCTTTATATGATGCAAATAAAGAAATTATGTTTACAGCAAGGATATAACGATAGTATAAAAACTATTAATTGATTCTCAAAGACAAGAACTTCAGAATATTAAAAGATAAGTTTTCCAAAACCTAAAAAATGTAGATATAACTTTCATTTTACACTACATAGAACGATAGAGTAAATAATTATCTATAAAACAAGACATCTTGAAGTTCTCTCCGATATTCTTTTAGCTGAGTCATAACAAACTTACAGAAGCTTTTAGAGTTGATTTTTTTCTATTTCCTATACAAAAGTCATTTTTTGACCTTCAATTAAAGTGCTATATCTCAACTAAAACTTGGCGACGTCTCATTTAGTAGACCATCATTTACTCTGTCATTTAGTGTAATATAAGCAAATATTATGCGCCAATTGTTGGCACTATTCTGTCCTACATAAATACATTGTATCAATTAGAGGTCACACAATATCCAATCTAAAGTTTAGATCAAAAGAGCTTCTACGAATAGATCAGATCATATCATAAAAACTTTTCAAACAGTTTTCTCTAATCGAGAAAGTACATCAACAATTGATCGTTCCAACATTTGAATCAAAATAAATAATAAGCTCTATACATATTATTCACTTTCATCGAGCAGTATATCAGCAATTCTTTATTTTTTTTTTAAAAAGCAAAATAGAATTCTCAGTATTTGATTAATTATTCGTTAAATAAATAATACATATCTCAAAGGCAAAAGAAAAATCTTGTCAATTATTGTTCATATTATCTCTTCTTAAGTAAATCAATTATATGATTCCTTGAAAGGTAAAGGTCAACTTCTAGATGACACTTTTGGATATATCAACTAGCAGATACTAATCAAGCAACATAATGATGCATATGTAGATATCAATGAAGAAAAAAAACACAGATTTACAATTATATCTACACTTCAAAGTACAAGTATTAAAAATTTTTCATTTATGATTTTCTTGTTTGACTTTTATTAATAATTTTCTCGTTCATTATAATCTAATCGATTCAACTAAAATTAAAATGTAACAAAGAAGAAGAAAAAAAACGTGTAACACTATGTGTGTGGTAAACAAGTGTGTAACAAAACAGAGAAGAAAATAGATACAAAATGTGTAAAATTTTTTTCACTTGTCACACACACATAAAAGTGAAAAGATGAATATAAATGTGAAATGACACTAATGATTCATAATAGACGACGTGTTATAATGACGATCTTCAATAGTATTTTTTTTTTTCTTGTCTAAAGATAAGATCATTGATTTTAATTGAAATTAAAGTACTAATTGATAATTATGAATAATGTCTAAAACGAAGAAATGACTTTGATGTTGTTTGAAATCATTTGAAACACGTCGAGGAATGTATAAATCAAATATATATTGATGCATATATGTTTAAAAGTGTCTTCTGTATGTTGATCGACTAGATGAATAAATAAAATAAGAAAAAAAAACGAAAATAAAGAGAAGAAAAAGAAAAATATTGTTTGTGTGTTAGTTTTTATGGTATCACTTGTCGACATAGACCATTAGTCGAATGTGATATTAATATTTCATCATCATTTTGATATTGATTTGATATTGATTTAGATTTTTTCCATCGTTGAAAAGATTCTGATGGTTTAGAATTATATGAAGATAATTTAATTATTGATTCAGGTTTTATAATATCATTATTTGATATTAAAAAATCTCCATAACGTTTGTTTTTTTCATGTTGAATTGAATAATGAATAGGTATTGTATTTGAAAGAAAAGTATCATCATCAAATGTTTGAGTATAAAAACATTCTAATGATGTTGATAAATCATATTCAATATGATAAGATGAATTTTTATGTTCAAGAAAATATGCCCAATCATCATAATTAATTGAATGTTTATTATTATCTATTTGATGATAAAAATTTTGTTGTACATCATTATTAGTAAAATTTATTTGTAAATTATTATCATTTATAGAATTTAATTTTTGTTTTGATTGTGTTTGAATTTGATAAGAATATTGTTTTTTTGTTTTATCATCTTTTGATTTATCTTCATCATCTGAATCATATTTTTTTGTATCATCTTTAAATGTTTTATGATTTGATTGAGTTATAAAATATGAAGATGTTGAAATAGATTCAGGATGATTTATTGAATATCCATTATAAATATGAATTCGTTTTTCTGGACGAGTACCAATTATATATGTAGGTTTATTAGTTTGAAATTCATTTAATGAATTTTCATCATCACTGTCTATTGGTTGAATAACAATACTTTGCATAGCTTGTGTTAAACTATGACTAGATAATGATTTATCTGTTTGTTGTGATAATGCTTCACTTTCTTGTAACCAATGATGAAAACCACGTGAAAGAATATCATCAATTTTTTGTTTAGTAGAAATATTATTAGTTGATTCCTGTTGAGATGTATTTGATAGATTAGAATGAAAATTTTGAATAATAAATTCATCATCATCATTCAAATTATCACTATCACTTGAAATAAATTGTGATTCATGTTGTCCATTGATATTATTTGTATTATTAAATTCATTTGTTAATGAAGTTTTAGTTTCAAGATCTTTTTTAAGCATTTGATATTGTGATTTTTTCTTTTGTATGATATCAGATGATGTTGTTGTTGTTGAAGTAAAATTAGTATTATCTATTGATAAAGAATTTACTGGATGTATATTAATTTGTTCACGAATATATTCAGGTAAAAATAAATCTAATTTATTATTTGCTTCTTCATAAGATGTTTGATTTTCAATAAGATGAATTGATTGTAATGTCGGAGAAGTTAATAATTCAGTTGTTTGAATTTTTGATGAAGTTAAAGAAATAGTTTCTGGTATATCTGTTTTTATTTCATGAGATTTATAGTTTTCTATAGGTATGACAGATGGAATTATTATTGTAGACTTTTGATTCAATTGTTGTTTATCATCATTGAATTTTATATTTGTATGAATTATACTTGTTGAAGATGTTAATAAATTTTTATCATCTATTTTTGTTTCATTTTGTAATTTTTTTTTTCGTCGTTTTGAAATTTTTTCATTGGATATGATTTTATTTTGTTCATCATTTATAATTGAATTTGGTATTGAAATAATATCATTAGATGATATTTGTGAATGATTAATAGATTTAATTGATTCTGTTTTTAAATGATCATTAATTTTATGAGGAAGTTTTTTTGATAATGTAGATAATTCTTGATTTGATTTAGTAATATTATCTGTTGAATGTAGATGTTTATTAATTGGTGAAGTTTGAGAAACTTGTTGAATATTTTCATTTGTTGTTTGATTTTGAGTTTTTTCGATAGCTAAAGGAAAAAAATCATTATTAGTTATTAATGATGATAAATTATGTTCATTAGTATTTTTAAATTTCTTAGATGTTTGTTTAGCAGTTGTTAATGTAAATGAATCTTGTTTAACATAAGTATTTGTTGATTTTTGATCAATAGTAGAAGTAAATTTAGATTGTTTTGGTATTGTTGAAGTTTTATGTTTGTGATGACGTACAATTTGAAATCCATCATCATCATCATCGTCTTGTATTAATCTAGATTTTTTAGTATTAATTACTGTAGATGAGATAATATTATCATTTGATGATTTTTCATTTATAGTCTTAATCTCGGATTTCGGTGACATGTGCTGTTCTTTAACAATTGGTTTGATTGATTGTTCGACAGGAGATGATTGATCTGATTTAGGTTTTATATTAGAAATTATTTCATATTGTGAGTCTTTTAATTGTTGTTGATATTCATCGGGTTTTGATTCTAATTGTTTGATGACTTTAGGTGTTTCGAAGGTGGTATCGATGTTAGTCGATGTACTAAGCTGTATTTTAGTTGATGGTGATCGCAGTGGAGTACTAATCGATGATTTTTGTTCTTTTTCAGACGGAGTTTTACTGGTAGTAGTTGTACGAGGAATGGATCGAGATGCTGAATCATGATGTTCTTGAATGGTTACAAATCTTGGATCAATATTACGACTAATTTTATGTTCGTAAATAGTTTTTGTTGTTGATGATGATTGTGGAGTTTGTCGAGATCGCATTGCTGAATTTATATGTTTGCGATAATGTACAACTTGAAATCCGTCATTGTCGTCTTCTTCAGAAGATGGACTAGTTTTTGTGAAAGTTTTTGTTGGTTTAGTAATTGATGGTGTAGTTGGTTTTGATTGTATATTTGAATCTTCAATAAGAGATGATGATAAAATCGGAGATGGTATAAGTATTTCTTTATGTATTGTTTGTTGTTCAGGGTTGGTCGAATCGATGCTAGATGAAGAAACTATTTCTTTTTTCTGTTTCTTGTGTTTATTTTTCTTTTGCTTCGATGTTGAACTTTGAGTGGTATCAGTTGTTGAGGTTGGTAAATGTTTTTGTTCATGAATTACTGAAGTTTTTGGAGTGAGATCAGAACTGAAAATTTCTTTTGAAGTAGTTGTTGATGGTAGTGAAGTTTTCTCAGATTTTGTTGCTGTAAGTATTCGTTTGTGATAATGTACTACTTGAAATCCTTCATTGTCTTCTTCGTCTTCTTCTGGTGGTAGAGGAGTTGCTTTAGTACGAATGGTTGGTTTAGTCACTGTTATAGGCGATGGTAGAGATTGTACAATTGCCTTTTTATCTATCGGTTGTTGTTTGATTGTTTGAGTATTTATTTTTATTTCTTCTGAAACTATTGTAACTGGAGTAGATAGTAGTTTTGAATCATCGTTCGAAGTCGATTTTTTCTTTTTTTCAGCTTTTCGTTTTGATTTATCAGTATTAGAAATATTTAATGTAGTTAAAACTTCTGGCTGTTTTTGTTCAGTAGAAATCACAGTTGAGATTCGTTGTAATTGTTCGCATTCATGTTTTATTGTTTTATTAATTTGAGAAGAATCTATTGTTTCAATACTTACTGCACGTTCTTGTTCTTTTAATTGAGGTTTTGCTACATCGGTTTTCTGCTTATCTGAATCAGATAATATCAAGCTAGGTGTATCGAAAACGATTGTTTCTTTTTTATCTTTCTTCTTTTTCTTGTGCTTTGTCTTGCTAGGGACATTGGTGGCTTGTGAAACGATCGGAGTTGTGATAATTGGTACAGTTGGGTGTTCATGAAGAATAACTGGTAATTCTGTTGTTATGATAGTTGATGCTGATGTCTTTGTATGTGTTGGTGATGAAGGTATGCATTGATGATGCTCTACGATATGAATTTTGTCATCAACAGCTTCATCTTTTTTGTTCTGTAATTCATGGTCATGTACAGAAAATTTTTCATGAAATTCGACTTTTATTGGTGAACGGTTTCGTTCATGAACAAGATTTAATTGCTCATATAATCGACCCATCTTTGTTTCGGCATCAACAATTGTATAATAACTTGAGTACCATGGATAATCATCACTGAGAACTTGAAGTTTTTCGGTTGAAGATTGACTCACGAATTCATTTTGTTGTTTATTATCATCAGTTGATATTTGCTGAGTAGAAGACAGATGATCAGGCTCAGCAATGGTGCTTTGGAATTGATGGGCATTGGTAGAATAATTTGAAATTAACGATTGTTCTTGTGTAGGTAAAATATTTTCATGTATATTGTGAATAATGTCTTTGACACTTTCGAGAAAGGTTTGTTTTTCTTTATCATTATCTAGGTTATCGGATTCTAGAGTATTAGTTATCGATTTATCAGAGAAGTTTGATAAAGATTGTAGTGTGGCAGTTTTTTCATCAGAAGAACCAAGATTTGATATGATTTCTTTGACATTTGATATAGCTTGAGCAACAATATCGAATATACCATGTTGTTCTTCAGTCGTTATCGATTTATTGGTTGTTTCATGTTCTGGTTGATGAGCAGTGTTAGTAGTTGAAATATTAGATATTGATAAAATATTCTGGTCAGATTGTAATGCATCATTCGGCACAGATGTAGATTGGGAAACAACATTGGATGAATTGTTTGCATCGACGAATCTTTCAACATTGTCTTCTTGTTGTTGAGATATATCAGCTGTTTGTTCAGTAGTTTGCACTACGAGTGGAGTGCTTGTCAAAGTAGAAGTACTACTGGTTTCAAAGGATGTTTCAGAGTCAGCTAGATTTGACTGAGTTTTTTCGTCAATGGTTCCGTGAATAATTGGACTTTGCTCTTCAATACTTGACGAAGGAGCAGTTTTCATTTGAGTTACTGGTGATAAAACACCTTTCATAATTTCGGATAAACCAGTGACTGATGATGGTTGTTGATGAGCAGCTCCTACTTCTGCTACTATTTCTTCCGAAGGTTTTGAAGACAGAATTTCATTGTTTGTTCCACTAGAAGCTAAGGCTTTATCGTTAGACTTCACGGATTTACCAGTCGAAGTTGACGTAATTTCACTGATGCCAGTAGTACGAGGAACAGATCGAGATGCTGAATCATGACGTCCATGAATGACTACAGGTTTAAGATCAATATCAGGACTGATATTTTGACCATCAATAGTACTCGCTGCGGACGATAATTGTTGAGCTTTTCGAGATCGAGGTGTTGAGGGCGTATGTTTGCGATGATTTACAACTTGAAATCCTTCATTGTCGTCTTCCTCTTCTCCTCCTACTGTTGATTCAGATACTACTTTAGGATGAGTTACTGTAGTAATTGTCGTCGATGTAGGTGAAGACTGTAGAACCAGCTCTTTATCTATCGGTTGTTGTTCGATTGATTGAGTATCAGATTTCACTTCTTCCGAAAGTTCTGTCAGTGGAATCGACAACAACTGAGTAACATTGTCATGAATCACTTCATTCTCTTGATCACTTATTTGTTTTAATTCATCAGTATTAGGAATAATCAATGTGGATAAAACGTTTGATGGTTGCTGTTCCTTGGAAATTTCACTTGAAGTGGGTTGTAATTGTTCACGTTCATGTGTTACTGTTTGACTGGTGTCAGAAGAATCTCTTGTTTTAATATCCACTGGACGTTCTTGTTCTACCAATTCAGATTTCACACCAACAACTGTTTGTTGTTTGTTTAGGTCAGATGATAACAATTCAGGAGCATCAAACAAAATTGTTTCTGATTTGTCTTTCTTCTTTTTCTTATGCTTCGCCTTGCTGGAGGTATCTTTAATTTCTGATGCGATCGGAGAACTTACGACTGGTGCAGATAGGTGTCCATGAAGAATAATTGGTTCAAGATCTATATCTGAACTAATTGATAGTTTTGAGGTTACGGACGTTGATGGTACTGTCTTCGTTTGTGTTGATGATGAAGGTATGCGTTTGCGACGATGCACAACATGAAAACCATCGTCATCGTCATCTTTGTCTTTTTCATCTTGTAATTCATGTCCGTCGGAAAGATTTGCAAGTGAAGTCGGCAACGACTGCATAACAGCCTTAGAAATCACTTCAGTCTCTTTATCAGTTACTGGATTTAACTCATCAATATTAGAAGTAATCAGTGTCGATAAAACTTCTGGCTCTTGTTCCTTCGAAGTTATAGTTGAGGCTTGATGTAATTGCTCACATTGATCTTTTAATGTTTGATTAATTTGAGAAGAATCTATTGTTTCAATATTCACTGGAAGCTCTTGTTTCGCCAACTTAGATTGTGTTGTATCAGTTTCGTCTTTATTTCGATCAGATGATGTCAACTCAGGAGCATCGAAGAGAATAGTTTCGGCTTTTTCTTTCTTGTTTTTCTTATGCTTGGTCTTGCTAGAGGTATCTCTAGTTTCTGATGCGATCGGAGAACTTACGACTGGTGCAGATGGGTGTCCATGAAGAATAACTGGTTCAAGATCTATATCTGAACTAATTGATGGTTTTGAGGTTACGAACGTTGATGGTACTGTCTGCGTTTGTGTTGATGATGAAGGTACGCGTTTGCGACGATGTACAACATGAAAACCTTCGTCATCGTCATCGTCATCTTTGTCTTTTTCATTTTGTGATTCATGCCCATCGGAAAGATTTGCAAGTGAAGTCGACAACGACTGCATAACATCCTTAGAAATCATTTCATTCTCTTTATCGGTTACTGGATTTAACTCATCAATGTTAGAAGTAGTCAGTGTCGATAAAACGTCTGATTCTTGTTCCTTCGAAGTTACAGTTGAGGCTAGATGTAATTGCTCACATTGATGTTGTAATGGTTGATTAATTTGAGAAGAATCTATTGTTTCAATATTCACTGGAAGTTCTTGTTTCACTAATTTAGATTGTGTTGCATCAGCTCCATGTTTATTTCGATCAGATGATGTCAATTCAGGAGCATCAAACAAAATCGTTTCTCCTTTTTCTTTCTTCTTTTTCTTGTACTTTGTGTTGCTAGGGATATTTGTAGGCTGTGAAGCGATGGAAGAAGTAATAGTTGGTGCAAATGGATGTCCATGAAGAATAACTGGTTCAAGATCTATATCTGGAGTAACTGGTGGTTTCATGGTCACGATAGTTGATGATGACGTCTTTGTATGCGTTGTTGATGAAGGTGTGCGTTTACGGCGATGTACAACATGAAAACCTTCGTCATCGTTATCCTCTTCTTTTTCGTTTTGTAATTCATGCTCGTGGATAAGAAGTGTTTCGTGAACTTCGACTGTCGTTGGAGATTGTTTTTGTTCATTGAAAAGATTCAACCGTTGATTTTGTTGAGCAATTGTTGTTTCAGCATCAGCGATTGTATAGTAACTTGAATACCATGGATAATCATCATTGAGAACTTGAAGCTTTTCGATTGAAGATTTGCTCACGAATTCATCTTGTTTTTTATGGTCATCACTTGGTGCTTGTTGAACAGTAGAAATGCTTGTCGTGATAGACGATGGTGAAAGCTGTAGAATCGACTCTTTATCTACCGATTGTTGTCCGATTGATTGAGTATCAATTTCTACTTCTTCTGGAAGTGTTTCTACTGGAGTAGACAACAATTGTGAATTTTCATGAGAAGTTATTTCATTTCCTTGATCAGTAGTTTGCGTTAATTCACCAGTATTAGTAGTAATCGATGTGGATATAACTTCTGTTTGTTCTTGTTCTTCCTTAGAACCTTCAGTTGAGGTTGATTCTACTTGTTCACGTTCACTTGTTATATTTTGATTGATTTCAGAAGATTTTCTTGTTTCAATATTCACTGGATGTCCTTGTTCGATTAATTGAGAGTCTACAGTATCAACTTTCTGCGTATTAGCATCAGATGACATCAATTCAGGGGCATCGAAGAAGATCATTTCTACTTTATCTTTCTTCTTTTTCTTGTGCTTTGTCTTGCTAGTGACATTTGTAGTTTGTGAAGCAATCGGGGAAATCACGACTGGTACAGATGGGTGTCCATGAAGAATAACTGGTTCAAGATCGATATCTGAACTAAGTGGTGGTTTCATGGTTATGATAGTTGATGGTAATGTATTTGTATGTGTTGTTGATGAAGGTATACGTTTGCGACGATGTACAACATGAAAGCTTTCGTCATCATCGTCCTCGTCTTTTTCATTTTGTAATTCTCCCTCATAGGTAGAGAGCGTATCATGAGTTTCGACTGTTGTTGAAGAACGATTTTGTTCATTGACAAAGTTTAATGGTGGAAATAGTCTTGTAATTCTTGTTTCGGCGTCAGTGATTGTATAATAACTTGAATACCATGGGTAATCATCATAGAGAACCTGAAGTTTTTCACATGAAGGTTCATTCACGAATGTATCTTGTTGTTTATGATCATCTGTTGATAGTTCATGGCTAGATGAAATACGAGCAGATTCAGCATCGGTAGGATAATTTGTAATTAAGGTTTGTTTTTCAATTCGTGTTTCTTGTTCTTGTGTAGGTAAAATCTTTTCATGTATACTATGAATAACATCTTTGATATTCTCAATAAAGGTTTCTTTTCCTTTATCGTTATGTAAATCATCGAGTTGTTGGGTATTACCCAAGAATTTATCAGTCAAATTTGATGAGGATTGTGGCGAGGCAGTTTTCTCGTGAGAAGAGCCAAGATTTGATATCGTTTCTGTGACATGTGATAGAGCTTGAATAACACGGCTAAATACACCATCGTGTTCTGTTTTATTCGTTGTTGGTGACTAGAAAAATAAAAGATAAAATAAGTAACATTCTTCCGAAGTAAGCAAAAAAAATAGAAATGAAGACAGGTAACAAGACTAGTTCAAAATGTCTGCAATAATGGTAATGACCAGTTACCTTGACAAACTACCCTGCAACTAGATCTGCACTAGTACAGGACATTATTGGACTCGTTTCTGTTCAGTGTGTTCGTTTATCTGCCTCTACAGACTGATCCTTTGAACAGGTAGGTATAAAAAATGAAAACTAAAGATAAGTTCGGCTATCGGAACCGTTAGTATTAAAAATCTGAACGGTGCTCTGATGTCAGACCGTGATTTACTAATAGACTGACAGTAATTTAAACAGTCCAACAAGCAGAAAGACGCTTGTGCATTTGTCAGACAATAAAAAGCTGGTTAAAGACAAGTCACTCAACTAATCTGAAACGTCTTCAACCGCAGTCAGGAATAGTCTGGAGCATATCTTCTGTGACTGTAATGATTATTTGTGTGCACGTTACTGCTATTTTTCTTTGTTTAAAACTCAGGATGCTAGGGTAACACTTCTTCTCAAAGCAGAGAGTTTGTACTTTTGAATGTTCACGTGAAAAAAGTATATTGAAGTACCAAAAGAAAGTGAAAACAGTAAATATGCTATTCATTTCCTGACAAAAACTGTGAACGTAAAATTTTAAAACTGATTTGTTATTTATAGTTTAATAATTAACTTGGCTTACACAAACGTATTTTTGTTTGAATTTTAAAATGGATAGAGTTAATTTAAAATTAAATGAAGGTTTGATCCTAAAAAAATATACTCCTCTTGAACTCTAATAGTTCTTATTTTTTTTACATAGATTTTTTTTTTCAATAGTCTTCTTCGAACTTATCTGCATGATTAGTGCTATAATGAAATGTTTTTTGTGAATATGAAAAATTCTCAAATACTATAACATACTATCTACAGATGTTCAGTGAGGCTTAGAAATTTAGTTTTCGATTCTATGGTTCAATTGTTCAAACGACGGGAAAAGTAACATATTGTGTGTGCATATTTTACAGTGCATCTAGCTACATCGTGTCATGTGAATCGGACGTGCCGGTTTTTAGTTTTAAAAACTATTTTCTGACGAAAATCATGTCGACCCGACTATCCTAAACTTATTGTGTACGACAGAAAGAGCAGACATGACTAGAGATAATACTCGACATTTAACTCATTCGTGGTACACTTATGCTTGAAAGAATTAATTGTTGACTTACAGATGTTTCAAATATTTCTATTTCTTTATCCTTCGTTGAATAGTCTTGTTTATGATCGACATCAGTATTTGAAATACTAGATATTGACAAAACATTCTGGTTAATGGGTGATATATCATAGAGCACAGATGTGGGTTCGATAAAAACATTGGATGAATCATTTGTGTTAACGTCTTCTACAATATTGTCTTCTTGTTGTTGAGATTTTTTCGTTGGTTGAATGTTTTCTGTTGATGTTTCATTCGAAGTATTTGATAGAAGTGTTGATGTTAATAGTCCAGTCACTTTATCCAACAATCCCGTTGATGTTTTTTGTCGTTCGTCCTCTTTCTTTGTTTTTATTTCCTCTGATGTCATAATTGGCGATTCAGTAGTTGACGTTACTTCTTCCGAAGGCCTTGAGATAACAACTTCATTGTCGGTCATATTTGAAGTTAAGACTTTATCATTGAACTCCGGAGATTGACTAGTCGAAGATGAAGCTGTTTCACTGATGGCAGTTGTATGAGGAGTCGATTCAGATGCTGACTCATGATGTCCATGCATTACTTCAGGTTTAAGATCAATATCACGAATAATATTTTGTCTATAAACAGTATTTGCTGTCGATGATGAGTGTGGAGGTTTTTGAGATCGAGGTGCTGAGGGAGTATGTTTGCGATGGTGTACAACTTGAAATTCTTTATCGTCTTCTTCTTCTTCTTCTTTTGCTGATTGAGAAACCACTTGAGTATGAGTGGATGTTGTAGTAGTCCTTATAGATGATGGTGAAGACTGTGGAATCGACTCATTATCTATCGGTTGTTGTTCATTAGAATCTTCAGTTGCCATTGATTGTAATTGTTCTTGTTCACGTTTTATCGGTTGACTCATTTGAGACAAATCCGTTGTTTCAATATTCACTGGACATTCTTGTTCCACTAATTCCGATTGTGTTGCATCCTTTTTCTGTCTGTTCATATCAGATGATATCGATTCAGGAGCATCAAAGAAAAGCGTTTCTTCTTTTTCTTTCTTCTTTTTCTTATGTTTCGTCTTACTAGGAATATTTGTAGTTTGTGAAACGATTGGAGAAGTGATTGTTGGTGCAGATGGATGTCCATGAAGAATAACTGGTTCCAGATCTATATCTGGACTAACTGACGGTTTCGTTGTCACGATAGTTGATGATGACGTCTGTGTATGTGTTGTTGATGAAGGTATACGCTTGCGACGGTGGACAACATGAAAACCTTCGTCAACATCATCTTCATCTTTTTCGTTTATTTTTATTTCGTCCGATGTAGTCATGGTCGGCTCAGTGGTTTTAGCTACATCTTTGATGGATGTGGTAAATTGAGAAGAACTTTGTTGTTCAATTAATGGTTTTGTATTAACAAAATTAGTGCCTTTTTCTGTAGGCTCCGATGTGGACAAATTGGTTGCCGAAACAGGAGTGCCCTCCATTTCAAAATATGTTGCGTAGTCAACTTGATTAGATGTAGAAGTTGGTTTTGTTTGAATTGCTGATGATAAAACGTCTTTCATCATTTCTGATAAACCTGTGAGCGATGGTTGTTGCTGATGAACAGTTTCTACTTCTGTTACTATTTCTTCCGAAGGTCTTGAAATAACAACTTCATTGTTTGCTACATTTGAAGTTACTACTTTATCACTGAGCTTCGGAGATTGACTAGTCGAAGTTGAAGTTGTTTCTGTGATGCCGCTTGTACGAGGAATGGAGCGAGATGCTGAATCATGACGTCCATGAATGACTACAGGTTTAAGATCAATATCTGAACTAATATTTTGACCATCAATAGTATTTGCTGTCGACGATGATTGTTGAGGTTTTCGAGATCGAGGTGCTGAGGGCGTATGTTTGCGATGATGTACAACTTGAAATCCTTCATTGTCGTCATCTTCTTCTTTTTCTTTTGCTAATGGAGAAAGCACTTTAGTATCAATGGATGTTCCAGTGGTCGTTATAGCAGATAGTGAAGACTGTGGAATCAGCTTTATATCTATCGGTTGTTGTTCGATTAATTGCATATCAACTTTCACTTCTTGCGGAAATTTCGTAAGCGGAGTCGATAATGTCTCCGTAAGATTGGTATCTGTCACTTGATTCTCGTTACTGAGGATTGGTTTTAATTCCTCCGTTTCAGAAGCGATCATTGTCGAGAAAACATTTGGTTGCTGTTGTTGTTCACTAGAAATTGCAGGTGACATTGACTGTAATTGTTCATGTTCACGTTTTATTGGTTGATTGATTTCAGAAGAGTCTATTGTTTCAATATTCACTTGATATTCTTGTGCTGTGGGCTTAGATTGTGTGGCATCGATTTTCTGTTTGCTTATATCAGTTAATACCAATTCAGGAGCATCAAACAAAATCGTTTCTCCTTTTTCTTTCTTCTTTTTTTTGTGCTTTGTCTTGCTAGGGACATTTGTAGATTGTGAAACAATTGGAGAAGTAGTTGTTGGTGCAGATGGATGTCCATGAAGAACAACTGGTTCAAGATCTATATCTGGACTAACTGGTGATTTCGTTGTCACGATAGTCGATGATGATGTCTTGGTATGTATTGTTGAGGAAGGTATACGTTTACGATGTTGTACGACATGAAAGTCTTCGTTATCGTCATCCTGATCTTTTTCTTGTTGTGTTTCATCAGCTTCGACTGTCGTTGGAGAACGGTTTTGTTCATGGACAAAGTTTAATTGTGTACATAGTCGTGTAATTCTTGTTTCGGCATCAGCAATCATATAATGACTTGAATACCATGGATAATCATCGTAGAAAACATGTAGTTTTACATGTGAAGGCTCATTCGCCAACACATCTTGTTGTGAATGATCATCGATTAATGTTTGATGACTAGAGAAAAGAGGATCGTGTTCAATGCCAGTAGCTTGAAATTGATTTGGATGAGAAGGATAGTTGGAAATTGAGGATTGTTCCTCAATGCGAGTTACTTGTTTTTGCGAAGGTATAATCATATCATGTATTTTGTCAATAACGTCTTTGACGCTTTCAATAAAGGTTTGTTGTTCTTTATTATCATTTAAATTGTCCGATGGTTGAGCACTAATCATTGACTTATCAGAGAGATTTGATGAAGATTCTATTTGGACAGACTTTTCATCAGAAGAAGCAAGAGTTGATATTGTTTCTTTAACATTTGATATGGCTGTAGCAACAAGATCGAAGATACCATGATGGCCTTCTTCAGACGGTTTCGATCCATCTATGGTTGTATAGTCTTGTTGATGATCATTAGTGAAAACAGTAGATGATTCGTTTGCATCCACGAATTGCTCAGTAGTACCTTCTGGCTGTTGAGCTTTTACGACTGATTGAATAGTTTCTGAACTTGTTTCATTAGATGTATTTGATAAAAGCGTCGATGATAGAAGCTCTGTCATTGTATCGAACAATCCCGTGGATGCTTTTTGTTGTTGCTGATCATCCTCGTTTGATTGTATTTCTTCTGATATGATAATCGGCGATTCACTAGTTGAATTCAATTCTTCTTGAGATTTCGTAACTTGAGAAAGAACGGGTTCAACAACTGATGGACTTGTATTCACAAAATGAGATGTTTCTTCAGTAGATTCCGATATGGGCACATTGCTCGTTGAAGCATGAGTGCCATCAGTTTCACGCAAAGTGCCATAGTCAACTAGGGTTGATACAAGGGATGACGATTGTTCTTGATCAACGACTTCTGTCTGTGTTCTTATTCCATCAGATGTCCTTGAAATAACAACTTCGTTATTTGCTATATTTGAAGTTAAGGCTTGATCATCGGACTTTGCAGAATGACTAGTCGAAGTTGAAGCCGGTTCTGTGATGTCGTTCGTACGAGGAATGGAGCGAGATGCTGAATCATGACGTCCATGAATGACTACAGGTTTAAGATCAATATCTGAACTAATATTTTGACCATAAATAGTATTTGCTGTCGACGATGATTGTTGAGGTTTTCGAGATCGAGGTGCTGAGGGGGTATGTTTGCGATGATGTATAACTTGAAATCCTTCATTGTCGTCTTCTTCTTCTCCTACTGTTGATTGAGATATTAATTTAGTATGAGTGGCTGTAGTAACTGTTGTCGATGTAGGTGAAGATTGTAGAACCACCTCTTTGTCTATCGGTTGTTGTTCCATTGAATGAGTATCAACTTTCACTTCATCTGGAAGCACTTTAGCTAGATTAGATGACAATTCTGAAACATTGCTTGAAGTCAATTCGTTGTTCTTATCAGCTATTTGTTTTAACTCATCAGTAGTAGACGTAATCAATGTTGGTAAAACTTCTGGTTGTTGTTGTTTATTAGAGCTTTCAGTTGACGTTGGTTGTAATTGTTCTTGCTCATGTTTTATGGGTTGACTGGTTTCAGATAAACCCGTTGTTTCAATATTCACTGGACGTTCTCGCTCCACTAATTCCGGTTGTACAGTATCGACTTTCTGCTTATTAACATCAGATGACATTAATTCAGGAGCATCAAACAAAATCGTTTCTCCTTTTTCTTTCTTCTTTTTCTTCTGCTTTGTCTTACTAGGTATACTTGTACTTTGTGGCGCTATTGAAGAAGCTACGACTGGTACAGATGGATGTCCATGAAGAATTACTGGTTCAAGATCTATATCTGAATTAATCGATGGTTTCGAGGTTATGATAGCTGATTGTATTGTCTTCGTATGTGTTGATGATGAAGGTATACGTTTGCGATGGTGTACAATATGAAAACCTTCGTTGTCATTATCCTTGTCTTGTTCATTTTGTGATACATTGTCTTGGGTGGTGGGTGTTTCATGAAACTCGAGTGTCGTTGATGAATGATTTTCTTCATTGACAAAATTTGATTGTTTATTCAATCGATCAATCTTTGCTTCAGCATCAGCTATTGTATAATAACTTGAATACCATGGATAATCATCATTCAGAACCTGAAATTTGTGGCTTGAAGGCTTGTTCACGCATTCATCTTGTTTTTTATGATCATGAGTTAATGTTTGATGATTAGAAGAAAGAGTAGTTGTTGTAGATGATGGTAAAGACTGTGGAATCGACTCTTTATCTATGGATTCTTGTTCGATTGATTGAGTATTGAATTTTACATTTTCGGAGAGTTTTGAAAGTGGAGTCGATAACGACGGCATAACTTCGTTGGAAATAACTTCATTCTCTCTATCAGTTATTCGTTTTAACTCATCAATATTAGACGTAATCAATGCTGATAAAACTTCTTGCTGTTGTTTTTCGTTAGAAACCTCAGTTGACGTTGGTTGTATTTGCTCATGTTCACCTGTTATTGCTTGATCAGCTTGAGAAAAATCTGTTGTTGCAATATTTACTGGATGTTCTTGTTTCACTAATTCCGATTGTGTTGCATCCTCTTTCTGTCTGTTCATATCAGCTGATATCAATTCAGGAGCATCAAAGAAAAACGTTTCTCCTTTTTCTTTCTTCTTCTTCTTATGTTTTGTCTTACCAGGAATATTTGTAGTTTGGGAAACGATTGGAGCAGTGATTATTGGTACAGATGGATGTCCATGAAGAATAATTGGTTCAAGATCTATATCTGAACTAACTGACGGTTTCGTTGTCACGATAGTTGATGATGACGTCTGTGTATGTGTTGTTGTTGATGAAGGTATGCGTTTGCGGCGATGTACGACATGAAAATCTTCGACATCATCATCATTGTCTGGTTCGTTTTGTGATACATTGTCTTGGATCGAAAGTGTTTCATGAACTTCGATTGTTATCGGCGAACGATTGTTTTCATTGAGAATATTTAATTGTTCATTTAATCGTGCTATTTTTGTTTCAGCGTCTGCTATTGTATAATAACTTGCATACCATGGATAATCATCATAGAGAATTTGAAGTGCCTCACTTGAAGGTTGGCTAGCATTGTGATCTTGTTGTGTATGGTCATCGGTTGATGTTTGTTGAATTTTAGAAATGGTCGCTATAGACGATGGTAAGGACTGTAGAATTGGTTCTGTATCTATTAGTTGTTGTTTGATTGTCTCAATGTTCATTTTCATTTGCTCTGAAGGTATTGTAGCTAAAGTAGATGACAATAGAGAAACATCGTTTGAAATCAGTTCATCTTTGATATCAGCTGATGGTTTTAATTCATTTACAGGAGAAGTAATCAGGGTCGATAACATTTCTGGTTGCTGTTGTTCGTCAGGGACTACGGTTGAGATTGGATGCAATTTTTCCAATTCCTGTTTTGTTGTTTGATTAACTTCAGAAGAATCTCTCGTTTTAATATTGATTGAACGTTCTGGTTCTATTAATTCAGATTGCATAGTATCGGTGTTTTGCTTGTTAACATCATATGATATCAATTGAGGAGCATCGAAGAAAATCGCTTCTGATTTTTCTTTCTTCTTTTTCTTATGTTTTGTCTTGCTAGGAACATTTGTAGTTTGTAAAACAGTCGGAGAAGTAGTTGTTGATGTAGTTGGATGTCCATGATGAATAACTGGTTCCAGATCTATATCTGAACTAACTAGTGGTTTCATAGTTATGATAGTTGATGGTACTGTCTTTTCTTTATTTTGTAATTCATTGTCGTTTGTAGTATGTTTCTCGTGCAACTCGACTATTGTTGGAGAATAATTTTGTTCATTGACAATATTTAATTGTTCAGATAATTTTCCAAGCTTTTTTTCAGCATCAGCAATGGTATCAGAATTTGAATAGGATGGATAATCATCATAGTGAATCTTTGGTTGGCTTGAAGCGATATTTGATTGATTCGTCAACGTATTGGACAACATAGGAGTTGTCGTTTCATTCGATGAATCTGCTATTAAATCCTTGAATGTATCCGCTGATGCTATTGTAGTTGGTGATGAAATTATTTCTGTAGTAGTTGATTGATATTGTGGCATTGTTGCAGAAGTTTGATCGTGTGGACTCGGTCTTTTTTGTACTAGGTCAATAAATTGATCATTTGATGACAATGTACTAACTTGTTTGTCAATATCAGTAGTCTTGATAATAGGACTAGCATGTGTAGCTTCATCGAGATGATTAACATGATCAATAAGAACATCGTAACGTTCATTTAGATAGCGAAGATTATCTTTTTCTTTATGTGTTTTTGACAATAATGATTCATGTTCAGTATTAAATGACGATGATGATAAATTATGTAATGGTTTCATTAGAGTATCAAGTTGATTTAATAGTGAAGAATATCGAAAATCAAATTCAACATTAGATATAATATTTGGAATGTTTTCATTAATAATTTGTTCTTGATTTGTAGAAACAATTGATTGATTATCTTCAAAGATTTCTGATATTTGTGATTTACTATCTGAATCAAAAGTAATAGGTTTTACTTCATCAGAAATGTTTGATTGAAATGTTTGATCAATAGATTTTGTTAAATCATTGATTGTATCAACAATTTCATCCGAAGTACCAAATACTTGATGATATTCTCTTGAAGGTAAATTTGAAATTTGTGAAAATGATGTTAAATCAATGTGTTGAATATGATTATTTAGATTATCATTTAATATATCTTGTTTTTGTTCATAAATATGTACAGGTTGAATATGTCGTTGTTCTTTTAATTCATAATAAATTTTAGTTAAATCAGATGTAGTTTTTGTCTTATCTAATTGTTCATTATTAATAGAAGAAGTTAAATCTAATGATATTTGTTCAATATTTGGAATTGAAAAATATTTTTGTTGATTAAAATCTGTTTCAGGAATAGAAGATTTTGTTGAAGTTATTTGTTCGATTATATTTGATTGTTGAGAAATATTCATAGGATTTTCATCAGACATTTTCATTGAAAAATTAAGAATATCATTCATCACATTTGTTAATTCAGTTATGGAATACGATATGTCAGTTGTAAATTGATTAATTGAATTTATATCATTAGATTTAATCGATATAGGTGATGAAATAGATTTTTTATCTATATCATCTAATGATTTATCTTGATAAGTAGAGTTTAGTAATTCTGGAATGATTGAAGTAGTTAACAATTCTGATTCATTCGATATATTATTTTGAATAGATGATTGAAAATTTTTTTCAGTATTTAAATCTGTTATAGATGATGTCGATGAATCGATATGTGATATTGATTGAATAGGTGATGATAATATTTGACGAACGATTTCAATTAAAGATTCTGATGATGATTTAATATCTTTAGATATAAGATTTATCTTAGTATTGTCATCAAGAGGTGATTTAATAAGAATATCATCAATGACATTCGATGAAATATATTTAGCTTCATTGTCAAAATTTGTTTCATGTACATTTTTAGTTATAGACAAGTTCTTTGTTAATTCTAATGGTTTATTATCTTCAATATTAGTTATTGGTATTGATGTATTACAACTTTGTTCAGTAGTTTTATTAACAAAATCATTTGTTGATTTTTCGATTATTTGCGGTGTATGATCAACCAATGGAAAATGTGTAGTAGATGCTGTAGTTTCAATCTGACGAACTATATCAGCAAGAAAATCTGACGACAGTTCTATGTTTTCATTTTCATTGGCATATATTTGTTGAATTTCTGATGTTGTTGTTAATTGCGGGATAGAAATAGCTTTCGGTTGTTTGTCGACTTCAATATTTAAATTAGTTTGTAATGTCGCGTCTGTTTTTTCTGTATTATGTGTAATGATGTCAGTTTTGATTTCATCTGATGGCTGATGACTAATAACTAATGTAGCAGAATCATTAGACGATATTGTTGTTTCTTTTCCATATGTCTGTTCAATTTCATCAAATGGTTCGTGTATAATTTCAGTAGTCGATAAAATAAGATTTGATTTTGATTGATTTTTATCTTCATGTAAATTTTGTATTGGATCACATGGTATTTTTGAGACTTTTGTCAATGGAATAGTTTTAATTTGTTGTACAATTTCTGTAAGTGAGTCAATTGATGGTTTGTCAACTTTTTGTTCAAATGAATCAATTGTTTGATTAGTTGATGAATAATGTTCAAGTTCATTATCTTTTCTTTCTTCTTCAATAGATAATTGAAGATCTTCAAACATTGTCTTTTGTTTATCAAGTACAATGTTAGTTGATTTTGGATTTTGTGTACTAGAAACAATACAAATAAAATAAAACTATTTGATGAAAGAAAAAACTTACCTAATATCATCATGAATATTTTCTTGTTCATCTGTTAGATTTTTTTTAACATTATCTGATAAAGATTGTAAATTGATTGGTATAGTAAGAGGTTTACTGTCTTCTTCAGTTACTACTTTCGATGATAATTGTTCAATTTCGTTTGATTTTATTAAATTTTCATGATTAGTATGTGAATGAGTTAATGGTTTGTCAAATGTTTTTAGTTCTTCAAATTTAGTGTTCGGTTGAAAGGTTTCAATTTCAAAATCTTGATGTTTGTCAATTGGTATGTTTTGACTTCAAAATAAATTTAGAAAAATCGATTAAATTTTAAAGATTAAAGAAGTTTAATAACTTACTTCGTTTGAGAATCAATATTTGATAATGATTCTTCAGTTGATTTACTTTGAGATATTAAAGATTGATTATTTTCTTCGAATGTATTTGGTATTAAATGAGATAAGAGTGATTTTAAAAATGATAGTAAATCATCATTAAAATTATGTTCGATTGCTATTATCGATGATTGATTATCATTTTCAATTGAAGATATAGATTTTGTATCGATTGAAGGTAATATTGTTTGTTCTTGTGTTGTCAAAGATTGATGAGAAGTTTCTGTTATTGTTGTTGTTGGTTGATTTTTAATTGATTGTATGTCATCGTGACCTGAAGCATTTTCTTGTGTAATGGTTTTCTAAATTATAATAACGTTGAATTTTATTTAAATTGATTGATCGAAAAATTTACCTCTTGTTTGATTCTTATCTGTGGTTGATCAACTTTTGATATCGTCGATTGCAATTTAGAGTCTGGTGTCTGTTTATTTTCTTCATTTGATTCATTGATTGATGATTTTGTTGTTGAGATGATTTCATGATCATCAGATGAAATATGATTTTTATTTGTTAATATTGAACATGATGGATGAGCTTGTTCGGCATCATCTTTGTCTTCTATTCTTTGTGGAATAAGATCATTTTGATATTCTTGTTTTATGTTATTAGACAAATCTTTTTGTTGTTCGTGTGACTTTAAAGATTGTAATAAAATTTGTTCATTTCTAGATAATGATGTCTCATTAGCAATTATATTAACATTAGTACGATCATCACCTGTAATAAAACATAATGAAAAAAAATTTTTTTTTTTCATAATTGATAAACAATCATAATATTTACGAAGTCAAGAAAAAAAAAACCTGACTTTTTTGATTGCTATCATTCTATATACCTGTAGGAAAAAGAATCGATTAAACTCAAATAAAAAAAAAAAAAGAAATTATAATATTATGACGATAGGCACGTAATATACAATACAAAATCTCAAATAATGAGCTCAGCAGGATATGAAAAAAACATTTTTGTTGTATGTTCAAGAACAGAATGACATTTAAAAAAGAAAAACTATTCTGTATATATTTCAGATCAAATCGATTATTGATTTTTTCTTTTTGATAAAGTTATAAATTATATTCAAGGTTACTTATCAGTAATAATTATCATTATATCTATTTTATATTTAATTAAAATATGAAAAACATAATCCATTCTTTTTCTTTTTTGCTTCTCGTGTTATTTTATTAAAATATTTCTTTTCTTTTTTTTGTTTTTTACTAAAATTATCAAACTCAAATTATATCTATTTTCTTTGTATGTTTTAATTCATTGAACTTTTGACATCTTCAAAAGGACATCTTGACATACAAAATAATTCATTCGACTTGGTCGATTGAAATCGGATTAATACTTTATAATGTTTCCTTGATAGTGATCACAATCGAAAGCTACATCTATGTATATATATATATACAGTGGCTGCCAAAATTGTACGACCACCTAACAAAAAAATTTTGTTCGTTTTACATTTCAGAGACAGAAATAGCTAGAGACTTGCGCCTTTTACCATGTTGTAGCCCGTTGTGTCTAGTATGTTTGTGGTTAGTCTTAGCTCAAAACTTCGTATGGTTCTTTTTTCTTAAAACAAAAAAAACATATATTGAATTTTTCACGCGTCAAAATTATACGACCACTTGTTTTTCCGCAATTTCTACGCACGCATCTAGGTATAAAATTTTCTTCATAATACATCATTCGAAAGAACAAATTATCCTCTACATGATGAGCTACTTTTCATTGCATTGCTATACAGAAAAAGATGGAGAACTACCTTTTTGGGAACCATTCTAGGTCCTTATGACCAAAAAGCTGTAGACTGACAATTTTTCCTACTAATGTTCAGCGAATTCCAACGCATAATACACTGTTAGGAAGAGCATCAAAAACTACCTTAGATATGCTATATAAATGAATATTGTGTGACGCAAAGTTGGCATGGCTCAATCCAATGTGTATACCAAATGGGTATAGTCCTCTATATATTGTCCATATTTATGCATCAAGAACCGTGTGAAATTCTTAAAAAGCATGTAGATTTGTAGAAAATCATTTTCTCTACAAAATCTTATCATTGAAACCCTAAAATAGTTGCAGTCTTATGAGTTAAAAGTGATTCTTTCGAGAAATATAGCAGGAATAAAAATTCGGCACTAGTTCCAATATCATCCTGAGTATAAATTAAGTCAAATCGAAAGTTATTCAGCTAAATTAAAGGTGACTTCTCGCTCAAAACTCAATACTGTATCAACTGATTCATGATGCGTTAAAAATTCTTTCTGAGTTTTTTATATATGAACCTAGGTTCGCATCGATTGTTATGTGAATTTTTATTCCTGCTATATTTCTCGAAAGAATCACTTTTAACTCATAAGACTGCAACTATTTTAGGGTTTCAATGATAAGATTTTGTAGAGAAAATGATTTTCTACAAATCTACATGCTTTTTAAGAATTTCACACGGTTCTTGATGCATAAATATGGACAATATATAGAGGACTATACCCATTTGGTATACACATTGGATTGAGCCATGCCAACTTTGCGTCACACAATATTCATTTATATAGCATATCTAAGGTAGTTTTTGATGCTCTTCCTAACAGTGTATTATGCGTTGGAATTCGCTGAACATTAGTAGGAAAAATTGTCAGTCTACAGCTTTTTGGTCATAAGGACCTAGAATGGTTCCCAAAAAGGTAGTTCTCCATCTTTTTCTGTATAGCAATGCAATGAAAAGTAGCTCATCATGTAGAGGATAATTTGTTCTTTCGAATGATGTATTATGAAGAAAATTTTATACCTAGATGCGTGCGTAGAAATTGCGGAAAAACAAGTGGTCGTATAATTTTGACGCGTGAAAAATTCAATATATGTTTTTTTTGTTTTAAGAAAAAAGAACCATACGAAGTTTTGAGCTAAGACTAACCACAAACATACTAGACACAACGGGCTACAACATGGTAAAAGGCGCAAGTCTCTAGCTATTTCTGTCTCTGAAATGTAAAACGAACAAAATTTTTTTGTTAGGTGGTCGTACAATTTTGGCAGCCACTGTATATATGTACAAAATCTTAACATTTAACAAATGTTCAATATTGTACTAATCTTATTTGGATTAGGAAACCTTGAAAAAAGAAACTACTTGAACAGTCATTCAATATCGATTTTTGTTCACATTCTAAGGTTCATACAATACATCTACTATTCTATTATCATGTTCACTCGGCATAATTGAATTTTATTGTGTCAGGGGAATTTTCATTTTCTTTTTCCTTTTAAACCCTTGAAAACTATAGAATAAAAAAAAAACAACAACAACGAATGAATAACATACCAATGTTAATTGTAGAATTAGTTGGATAAATTTCTTTGAAATTGTTTGCATTGCTATTTTCAATTGTTTCATCAATATTTGTTAATTCATAATTATCACCGGATAAATCATTACTACCAGTTTGTATAATTGAATCAATTTTACTTTGTAAATTATGCATATTATTAAGTAGTTGTGTTGCACGTCTATCTATATCATCTATATGTATATCATCTATTTTATGTCTACGTTTAATACATCGTTTTTTAATTTTACGAAAATTTCGAGTTTCTGAATGTGTATGATGAATTTCTCTTGTTGATTTAATTTCATTATTTAAATAAATAATTTCATATGAAATTTCTTCAGTTATTGTTGGTTCAATTTCTTCAAATTCTATATAATCTTCAATTATAAATTCTCCTTCATATTTAATAATTGCTTTTGCATCATTACCCCAACGTTCAAGTAATGTTGGATAATGATCAAGATATGTTATTTCAAGAATTTCTTCATGAATTATTTCTTCAATAAAATCATCTAAATAATGTGTTCTACGATAAGGTGACGATGATGATGATGTACGATAACGAGTTATTGATGGATATGATGGTTCATATTCTCGTGAATGGCGATTCATTGAATCTGTCGAAAGAACATTTGATGATGAAATATTATGTGTAGTATTTGTAGTATATGTAGAATGATTATTCGATAAAGAAATATTTTGATCTTTAGTTTTACTATTGATTGATGATGAGACACGATTCGCCATTGAATCGTTGATGCTCGAATAAGAGTATGGTTTGCTTGTCAGCGACGTAACTGAAGCAGTATTTTTATTTGTTTCCTTCGCTTTTTTTTCTCTCTCTGTCTCTCTCTTGTTCTCCCATCCGTCGTTGTTCTCTTAACATCGCTTTTCTCTCTTTTCTCTTTCACCTTTTTCTCTGTTTCTTTGGTTTTCGCGATCATCGTAAACATTTTTTGTCTCTATTTCTGTTCTTCCTTTTATTATTCAATGTTATTTGTACATATTGCTCATTACAATTATCAATATCAGAGCTAGTAATTATTGGAACAGTCATATTAGAAGCAATATAAAAAGCTCTATGTAGTTGACATGTCAATGTTATTACCAACAAGAAGAAAAAAAAAACCCAGAGATGATGCTTTATATTTCTGTTGTTGATTCATTTGCATTAATGATGTTGTAACTCTTTTTTTTTCCCAGTAATACTTTAGTTATTTTTTTGTTTCTTCCTCGTCCGACTTTTTTTTTTGCTCTATGCACGACATTCTAATGAGTAGGAGCATGGATTGAATGAAGAATATGCGCATTTGTATTTATGTTCTGCGTTATTATTTTCTCTGTAAGCGCCATTATCAGATGTTGCATTCGTTCTTCCATAAAACATCATGGGAACCAATTCTCTTAGTCTGTTTTTTTCCGTCTTTCAAGGCTTTTCTTACGCACGTACATTTTGTTTTTTTCTTTCCTGGTTTTTCTCGTTCTGATAAGAAAAAAAAAATTTTTTTTTTCCCCCTTTTTCTTTATTCATCAATATTATTATAACTAATACTCTTGGCCCGTTGGGATACGGCAATCATATTTTTTTCGTTGAAAGAAAAGCAAAATTGTTTTTTCATTGTTTGAATCTATTGTTTTTTTTTTTTTTAAACGATAATAATTCTAAATGTTTGTTTAACTTCTAACACGAATGACAAAACGAAACAAATGAATTAAAATATTGCATTAACGGTTTTTTTTTTTTTGCATCTTAAATATTTTTCCTGTCGAACATCACCATTGATTATTGAATTTCTTTTTTTCTTCTGCGACATTTTCTTCAATGAATGGTTTTGAAAGAGAGTGAAATAGAGAGAAAGAGAGAGGAAAAAAAAAATAAATACAACGAACATATACACCCACAAGAATGGGTGTTAGAATATAAAGAAAGAAAGCGAGAATGTGTAGGTTCTGATAAATAGAAAGGAATATTAGTCAAAAAAATGACATGCAAATTTCACCATTACACTTGATTTCAACTATATTAATAATGTTTATAAATATAATTTATCCAAGAGTTATTTGAGGAATTATATATATATATGATTATGTTTCATATCAGTTAGTTGATGACGTAGACGATACGATAGTAGGTGTTGATGTTAATAATTCTTCATTGGTAACAACTTCATAAAATGATTCATCAATTGCTGAGTGTTTTGAAATAACATTTGTCGTATCATTGACGTTCGTATCAGTTGAAATGATTGACAAGGTTGGTTTTTGTCCGTTGTCATTCAAGATTATTGATGAATTTTTATTGTCATCAGATATTTCTAAATACAAAAAAAAAGAAACATATATATATATATAATCATGTTTTGCTTATTTCTTTCTTTTTTTTTATATTTGTGCAATCATTCAAAAAAACACAACATATGTCAAAAATGAAATCGCGATCATTATCTTTACCTAATCATAAATTGAATGCTGTGTACAATTGTCATACAAAAGAACAAAAAAAAGAAATGATTGTATCATCATTTATATTGTTTTAAATCATAATAAAATAGAAAATTTAATGCAAAGTTTTAATTATTATGAAGAAAATAAAATAAATCTACAAGTAGTAATCAGCATTGACATGAAACTTTTAGTTACGCATATAACATTTGGTTTTACGCTTCAATGAGTATTATTTTTCTTTTTTTTTGCATACACTTCATTATATTCTTTTGACACGACAACTATCGTTTATTTCAGTATCCAGATGCGAGAATAAATATAGATATAAATATAGGAGTCTTTGTGAACAAGGACAACAAATGACTAGTGTAATATATTTTCATCTCAAGTTCTTTCATGTACTAAGCACTTGATTGATAACATAATCGATTGTAGTAACTATTATTTATCTTGTTAAATAGACTATTTTAGATGTCAATATTGAATTCTATTTGTCGAATAATCTTCTTCTATTCATGTATTCATAACTCCTAATTATAAAATAGATTATACTAAAGAAAGAAAGATATTGAATCCTATACAAGAAATAAGATCGATATACATATATATATATATATATGTATATTTAATACGATGAAATATGATATTTTTAATGTATGCTATAAAATCGTTCATAAAAATAGTATGTACTATGTTTCGTTATGTTCTCTACTGAATAAATAACAATGAGCTCTGTTGTCGACAATCACATTATCAATGGGTGTTGATTGATCGATATATTACTATTTTGGTGTGTTTTTTTTCTTCTTTTGTTTATAACAGTCTGTTTTGTTATTTACATTAGGAAACTAAAGACTATCTAATAATTCAATTGTTATTATTTTCTATAAGCATTTATATAATTGCTATTCAAGGTGAAAATTCTTTTTTTTTTTTTGGTATTTATGTAAGTCATTTAACAGTGTAATCAATCGTAGATATGATGTAAGAAAAATAATTATGTCTATATGTTAGCAAGAGGAAAAAAAATAGAAGAAGTATATGGATAAATGAATGATATCGGTCAATGTTTTAGATCATTGATTACAATTCTACTGAAACAAAACAAAGCGCAAACGATAGATTGATTAATAGAAGAAAATATAGAAAAAAAAGATATGTATATATTTAAATAATATTTACTCTAATTAAAGATAATCCAAGAAAAATTTTACGTGTAATTATTATAAAAAATAATTTCATTTGAAAAAAAGAAAAATAAAAATTTTGATTAATTAATTATATAATTAATATTTTGATTATATATTACCTGATATTTTATTAATTGTTGCAGTTATTGTTGGAATTTCATTATTACCAAAAACATCTTCTGTATCAGTAGATTCATTTCGTTGTTGTTGTGAACGTCGTTGATGATGAGAATTTGAATATCGTCGATATTTTTGATGTTGATGTTGTTGTTGTTGTTGTTGTTGAGAAGGTATATTTGAAGTTGATGATGTTGATTCAGTTTTTTGCTCTTGTTCTTCTATTATTGGTAATGGATCAACCAAACGTAAAATATCAATCATTATTTTAGTTAATGAATGAATACCATTGAGATGTGTTGGTGGTATTTGTAAAGGTGTTTCAGGACCTGAATGTGAACGTTTTCTAGTTGTTGTTGATGAATTTGGAAAAACAAAAGCTCGATTTGAATGTAATCGTTGTCGTTTAGATGAATGTCTATTTGGATAAAGACTATCATCTGTTAATGGAGGCATTAATGGTGAATAAGGAGAATATGCTGGTTTGGAATGATAAGATGATGTTGAATTTGGTGAATTACTATATTCATTTTGCCACCAAGAATTTGATGGTGAAGTTCCTGTATTCCATGATTGACGATTATATGGAAAATGTTGTGGAACAAGTGAAAGTAATGGCCGTATTGGAGAATTACCTGTTGGTATTGTTGGATATGATTCTGAATAATAACGTGAACGTAAATGACGATAATGATAATGATCAACTTGTGTTGCACGTCGACGTAAATGTGCTGGTGCCAATTCAGAACGATAAGTTGGTGAAAAATCAAGTGGTGTAAAATCTGGTGCATCAGGATTTAAATGTATTTCATTTGTTGTATTATCATTACCAATATGTAATAAACGTGTTAATTCACGTGTTGCTTCACCTAAATCCATTTTATTTGTTGCTGTAAATGTACTTTGTGCAATATCACCAAATTCTGATGATGAACCAGATGATGATGAATAACGTGGTTGTTGTTTAAGTACACTAACTGATGCACGTTTATCATCAGTTGATAAAATATCACCAACAGATACTTCAACAGAAGTTGAAGGTAATCGTTGTGATACATTAGTTATTGTTGCTGATTTAGGACTATCTAATGATGATACTAATGATGAAGCAGCTGCTGATTTAGCATCAACTGGTTTTGGACGTATTTTAGTTTGTAAAGGACTTGTAGATGGATCACGATTTTCATCACTCATTTTTGAAAATTGTATTCGTATAACGATTGTATTTTATCGATATGAAATGAATGTTTGAAACTGACTTTCTATTATAAAAAAATAAAATAAAAAAGAAAAAAAAATAGTTTAAAAAAGATAAAGCACTAATCATACTGAAGTGAATTTAAGCAGGTGTGCATATGACGGCATAAAATTTTTTTTTTTTTTGTAAATCTACGTGTACATATATACCTAGAATCTATGTTGTTTTTCATTAATGATGATTAATCGATGCCTTATTCTCATCTATATTTACTATATTTAATGATTCTATTTGAGAAAAAAAAAAAGAAGAAGGAAGACATTCAATTTAGCATCAAATAAAAATAAGAAAGAGAGTGAGAGAGAGAAACGTCTTGAAAGAAGGTGCATGATGGCATTTGTGATTAAGAAGTGATGAGAAAAAGAAACAGCTGTGCATATATATATACACAGTCAACGATAGACTCTAACATATTTTAAATGTGAATAACGTTCTAATCGATTGTGCGATTACTATATGTGTATAGTGTTGGATTATTCGCGAAAATTAAAAAGAAAATTTGATAATGTTGATGATTAACAAACATATATTCTCGTATAAGAAAAAAATTTATCATCGCGCAAAAAAAAAGGAAAAAAAAAATACCGAACTTATTTCAAGAAACAAATTCTTTGAATATTTAATCATAAAAAATATTCAACTCGATAAAAGTTAAGATAAAATCATAAATAAATAAATAATATTATAGAATATAAATATCTTTCATCTTTTATAAATAAAATTAAATGTAAACCATAATGATATAAATTTTAAAATGAATAACTCAATATAAGACTTTTCTTTTTTTTTTTAAATATAATAATAATTTGAATAGTTGAATAATTTTTAAATCCTTATGATACAAAAAAACCTACATTCTATTTCTTTTAATTATTACATTGACTAGAATGATTGTAAAAAAAAAAAAGAAAACTGTAATTATGATTCCATTTGTTTTTTGTGGACATTATCTTTCTTTTTTTTTTTTCTTTTTTTGTTAGACACCATCCTATGTAAGAAGAAAAAGAACAGAATAGAAAAGAACGAACCCTGTAAGCAGCTTGATTTTGCAATAACAACCTTTATGTTAACGACATAAAGTGCACATTCTTGCAAATATTCATGAAAAATTTTCAGATCAATGTTAAAAAATATTTAAAAAAAAAAACAATTATATAGATCAAGTACATGACTTTCAATTTCATGGCTAATATTAATCAGAATTATTTTAATTAATTTAATTATATTATTATAAAGACATATGAAAAACAATAAACAATTATATCCTTGACTTTTTTGTCTCTTGAAAAAAATGAATAAGTACATATTCTTTTTAATCAGTTTTTCATATGAGAAAAAAAATATATATAAGATATTTACTTAGATATGATCTGACTAAATTTGTCGTTGCAATGTCTGTTCACAATTAAATGCCATTAGGTATGATTGAGTATAAGATGTGTTAAAAAAGTTTTTTTTTTGTCTAATGAAACATGTTGATATAATATCTCATTATAGTTTATGACTATCAGTAATGAAATATTTCTTTTGGGGCTTGTGATTCTATCGTCAAAGATAAGGAATGTGAATTTCTCATTTCCATTTTCCGTTTTATCGACGTCGACGAGAACAGTAATAGTAGTAGAAATGGTAGGGGAAATAGCATCCACAATAATGGTAGCAGATCTTTCTGAAACAAAAAAAAAAACTAGTGGTTATATTCCTCTTTTTTTTTTCTTCTCGTTTTTTTTTGTCGTTCTGTAATGTGTTCAGAACGTCAATCCTAGATGCATTCCCTTCTTTTTTTTTGCGTGCATGCCACTCGTCATCAACATCTATTGTTATTGCTGCTAGCTTTACTATTTTTCTCTACAACGAAACAAACGATGAATGTCGCTCTATAGAAAGCGTAGGAGTAGAAAAGGACTACAATGAGATGTTATTTTTTCTTTACGTTCATTTTGTTTACTAGAAAAAGAAAATATTTCATTAATTATAAACGAAATAAAATATTGTTTTTTTTGTTGATTATAAAATTGATATCTATTGTTTTCATTTATATTTAATAGTTTAAATTTATTAAAAGTATTAAAAAAAAAAAATTTCCTTTTTCTCATATATTTCATTCACATGAACAATCATAAAAGTATTCGATTAAAAAAAAATATGAAAGAAAAAAAAAGCATGACATAATTCTTTTTTTTGTCTCTATGTGGAAAGCAGGTGAATTTATTGTTGCATCGGTCTTTTTAATAAGAAAAATATATATATAGTTAAGTTCTATTTTTGTTTTTTAAGCAATAATTAAGTTAATTATAAATAACAAAAATTTCTTTTTTTCATAATCTCATTCAAATAAATTAATATCAAACAAATTATTTAAATAATTTTTATTTTTTAATAAAATATAAAAATATTCAAATGATTTTATATAATCAATATGTAACTTTAGTCTATATAATCATTGTCTTATTAATGAGTACTCATGTTTCTTTTTATTCTTCATTGTATTTTATAGTTTCATTAAACCTTTCAATCAACTACGAAATAAATGAGAATATCACTTTTCATACATATTAATAACATGTACTTCAATTGACTTGCACTTATGCATGTTAAAATGCATACATATATATATGCAATACTGAATAAAATATTTTCGACAACCTTGTTAATTGAGTTGTTACTACTCACAGTTGTTTGAAAAAAGAAAGTTGAACCTATTTCAATGAAAAGAACAGAAGATGAACTAAATTTGCGTAAGTAAAACTTATCGATGACATCATATCTTTATATTAAGACATAGTATCCATGTTACAAACCTTTGTCACTAGTTCAAATGTAATATTTGAAAAGAATTCTAATGAATATTGTGTTTTCAAATATGTAATTCGTTTTTAAAATATTTTAGTTATCAGAATGTAGTTTATCTTCTATTCTTTTTTTTTTTTTAACAATTGTGCAGAACAACAACAACAACAACAAAAAAAAACATAAAAATTAAGATCAATGCATGGGAAAATAGTCAGTTGTTTGATCGATTGTTTTTAAATTATTATTTGATATCTCATTTCTTATTAAAAACTTTGGTCATTTTTTACTGGAAAAAAATGACGTGTTTTAGAAAATGTGTTTCGTTGTTTTTTTCTTTGCATAAATATTTTTTGATTGTGCATTGCACTATTCTCAAAGGAGCTTCATTCTCGTCAATTGCTTCTTTATTTATTTCAAAAAGCATGTCAAGATGTAGGACATGACAGCGTATCTCTATTAATTATGAATTAAACTTTGTTACTATTATATAAAAGAATAGCTTTATAATTACAGAATCATTTCTTAAAGAATTTCTCTCCACTTGAAAAGTAAGACTTTATAACAACAAGGACTTTGTATCTTGACATGCTTTTTTCAAACAAAAAGAATGCTCTTCAACTTATTATGAGTCAAATTTCATTATGATTTGATATTTAGGCATGAAATTTTCTAGAGATATAACATGAATCATGATTGTACTTTTGATATAAAATCATTTAAACATTTTTTTTTTAGTTTAAATCTGTAGATTGGAATTTTGATTCTTTAAAATCAATTGAATTGATATTGATGATAATGTAGCGAAAAATTGTATTTTACAATAGTTAATAAATGTAATGAACTTGAAATACTAAATTCAAATGGATTGGGTCGTGTCGAAGAAAATCATCTCATAGAATAGGAATCATTTATCCGGTCCAGTTCATTAAGACCTTTGAACTATACAGATTCAACTAACAAAGATTAAATTTTTTTTTCGCAGTGACACGGGATTTAGAATGAGTATTTTCTTTATAATTTTGATGAATTTTATTATAAATAATGTCATATAAGTTTTCTAAACTCATAAATTCAATGCTATTGAATTCAATTATTAGCAAATTTAACATTTGATTAAAATAAATTGCTTTTACAATTGAGATATGGTTAATTATTCCAACTTATGAAATTCAATTAATTGATATATTTTATTTGACTATAGACAAATGTCCTTTATTGATTGTTTGTTAAAATGAAAAAAAAAACAAAACTAAAGAATAAATTTCAATATATTCAAAATTTTACATTTCATGATGATGAGTTTATTAATGAGTAATTGATTTATTATTGTTCTCTTTATTTTAATTAATATTATTCTGTAATACGGATCGATCTATTCAGTCTGGAGAAAATATACATAAAATTTCATTGAATATTTTTCATGTTCAATTATTTGATGATTTCTTTTTTTCGTATAATGAAATACGTTTATTGATAGAAGATTTGAAATGATTTGGAAGTTTAGTCATGCCAAAAAGATTATCAAATGTTGAGAAATATATTGTTTTATATTGTAAGATTTTTATTTGATGTTAATGATTTCTTTCTATCTGTAAATTTCAGTTTATAAGTTTCTGTCGAAGAACTATGATAAATTTTACTAAGATTATTAAGTGAATTCCAACGATATGATATTGTAGCGAGATAAGAACTTGATTTATCATTATATGATGAATGATCATTATGGTAATCTTGTTTAGATGATACTAATTTATCTTGTAATACATAATCTTGCATTCGTTTTTGTCGTTCATCAATCCGTTTAGATTGTTTCGAGGATAATGTTGATATTCTTGTCAAATGATCTAAAATTGAATAATGTTACACATATATATGAATATAAAAAAATTGAGTGAAATTTATAGATGAATATATATCAATGAGAATATCGAAATATTGATATTGAGGAAAGTATATAGTATAGTTAGTTGATGCTTAAACTAGCGGCAACGACTGAAAGTTTTCGAAGGAGAAAAAAAAAGATGATTTTTGCTAATGAGAATTTTCTAGAACTTTAACATCTATTTTTCTGCTAAGGCAATTTGAGATGGATCTGATAATGGGTATCATCCGGTCGTCGGTCTATCGCAGAGATGTCCACTACGGCTGAAAATCTGCCGCTGTCGCACCGCGACGGATTTTGAAAAGTTGCTGGTGCGATGTAATTTTAAAAAATTTGCCGCGACGGGATTTGGAGAAACGTGCCGCTACCGCCGTGGCGGCAGCACCGCCATGGATATCTCTGGTCTATCTTCTTTTTCTTTCTTACTTTAATGATATATCAATTTATTGAAAACCACTATTAACACATTCATCGCGATATGAATATTGCTTTTTCACAATTCATGAAAGGTTTCATTTTTTTATTCAAGACAATTCTAATACTTCATAACAGTTTTTATCAACGTTTCTCTGATGAATATGAGTTATGAAGATCCCTTTATCGGTGGTAAAAGAACCAGCCTCTTCCGTCAAAATATAGCAGAGATATTCAATTTTTTCTGCGGTGAAGGAAGTTTTGAACCACCCTATAGTGGGTTCCACCGCGTTGAATGTGTTAATATTTGGATTATTCGTAAAGGTTATTATCTAGTGAAATTTCGTTAACTATTGACTTTACTGTAATGAATGCTACAGAGTTGGTATGGATATCGATCGTTATAAATTTAGACTAGTTCCATCACTGATAGTAACAGTTTAGTCAATTGACTTATACTTTACATAAAGTCTTTCTAGGTTTAAATTTTGCTATACATCAATAATTATGTTTTACAAAAACAAAAAATTTAATTTAAACACAATTAGAATAATAAATTTTCATTAATAAAATATTATTTATAATTAATTATTATATATCGACAAACCTTTTTCAGTTGTCGTATATATTATTTGTAATTTTTGTTTATTTCAATTCTTAACAATCATATTTTGATTTTGTTCATTATTTAAAGAAAGTAATGTAGTTCGTTCAGAAATTGATGAATTTATTGTCTCTAATCCATCATAATCATTAATATAATCAGTACTATTTGTATCATCATTTATTGTTGAATTAAATACAATTTTTAAAATACTACCACCAAATAATTGTTTATGAACTAATGTACGATTAAGATATGTATTAAGTCGTGTAACATTTTGATAACGTGTAAAACCAAGTATAAAATCACCTATTATACTTCCATTACGAAAATTAGTTATACGACAAGTAGAATGAAATACTGCATATTTAGTTTTTGGATCAACAAATGCTTTAGTGATCTAAAATAGAGAAGAATGAATTAATATAATTCTATTAATAAGATTTAAACGAGTAATAAGTGAAAAATGAAAAGATAATTGAGAAAAATTATATAATAAATTTTTTTCATTGATCTTATAATGAACTTTCTAATCTATTTAAGATAAAATATATATCACATAAAAGTGATAGAATAGAGATTTATTTTTATCCTTAACAAATATGATTTTAATATATATAGATCGAATAATAGTGTAAGCAAGCATAGCTAAACCAATTGTTTTTTTTTTCTAACAAAAGTCTTACGTGATTGACTTGAATTTTATTTTTCAAGTTTCATAATTTAATTATGTATTAATTTAAAATTTTACGTCAGTTCCTAATTACATTTTAGTTTGTAATGTCTTTCTTAGACATTTTGATTCTCTGTTATTGGTATAGAAAATTATTTTAAGTAAATATTCTTTCTATATTTGATGATAAGCTGCTGTTAATTCTCTAAAAGATTCGAACAAAATTGGTTTTATTTTGAATAATTAAAATTTTAGATTTAAATTCTTTGATTTCGTTTTTCTTGTAATATTTCACTAAAATGGTGATAAATAAGAACAAAAAAAAAGAAAGTGTTATTATAGTATGTATCCTTTTTGAGTTTTTAGTTGCATCAGAGGTTCTAACAATTAGTAAAATATGAGTTTGAACAGAAATTGTCATTTGAAAGAGCTCGATTGTAAGAAAAAGATTTGTACTTTGATATAGATAACTGTTTTTCATTCGTAGCATTTATTTCAAGTTTTGTTGTCAATTAATTATCATATTTGATATTATTAATAAATAGAATTTTCATATTAGTACAAAAGAAAAAACAAGAAAAGTCTTTGATGAGAGTATGCCTTTAACTGTCAAATTGCTTTTGAATCGAGATTATGTGTATCATGTACATTCGTTGTTAGCAGAATATCATGCTTCGTCTAATAAACACCAAAAAAACCAAAAATTTCAAAACTTTGCCTAAATGCAGATCTTAATGTGAAAGTTTTAGATTTTTTTGATCATATCTATTCCAAAAATAAGAACATTCAACTTTGTCGTTGTATATGATCAACATGAAAAAAAACATGCTTTAAACATAGTCTTATCTTAAGGATAGAACCAATCAAAATTCGAAACTCAACTTTCTCAAGGAGAAAACTCCCAAGGGAACACACAGAGCTGATTAATTGCTTTTGACTCAGGACTATGTGCAGCATGTAGATCGTAGTAAGTTATGAATATCATGAAAAGAGTTCGGACCCATAGCTTATTACTACCGAGATACTGTATTATTAATTCCGTGGTCTCTCTCAGGAAAACAGAGTTTTGAATTTCGACTTGCAACTTTGCATAGAGACAGGTCTTGATGAGAATATTTTTACTGTGAAAGTTTCAAATCTTTTCGTTGTTCCTATCCTAAGATATAGCTATGATAACAGCATGTTGTTCACATCCCTGATACATCAGCAGAGTCCAATGTTCTTATTTTAGAATAGAAGCAATGGAAAAGGTTGAAACTTTCACAATGAACTATTCTCACTAAGACCTGTCTACATTCAAAGTTACAAGTCGAAATTCGAAACTCAGCTTTTCTGATACTCCTGAGGGAGACCATCGAATTGAGCGAAAAAATGCAGTATCTCGATAGTAATAAACTATGGATCTGAACTCTTTTCAGGATACTCATAGCTCACTAGGACCTACATGATACACATAGCCCTGAGTCAAAAGTGATTGATCAGTTCTGTGTGTTCCCTTGTCAGCATTGTACTAATAAATATAATACTTCGGTAGTAATAATCTATCATACCAAATTCCTTTCAAAGTATTCATACCTCATAAGAACTCGTATGATACACATAGTTCTGGATCAAAATGTATTTGACGCTTAGAAACGTTCCCCGTGTGAACTTCTTGTTCTACTATTCTTGTATTTTATTTTTTATCTGTACCTTTTTACTTATTATAAATAAAAAAACTTTCATAACAATGTTTCATAAAGTCAAATAATCATGAAATGAAGTAAATAACTATTATATTTATCTATTCTAAAAATATCATTTTTTAAAAATATTAAAACTTACTAATAAACAAAATTCTCTTTGATAATTAACAGCTAATGATGATGATAAAGATAATAGTACAGGATCAAAATGAGCTTGAACAATAATATAACCCGAATAATAATCCGTTATTATTGGACTAGGTTTTCGAACTATAACAACAATAAAAAAAAAACACATTCTAATCTTCGTTTTTTTTTCTCGTTACATTTATTTAAAATTACTACCTAAGATAACTGTAACAACAACCACAACTATAATAACTACCATAATAATAACCATAGATAAAATAAATAAAATTCGACGACGTGGTGTACACCATAAAGATAGATCAATATTTGATTTATCATCTTCAGTTTTTGTAGATTGTGTTCGATGAGAAGATTCTAATATTTCTTGAGTTTTTTCATTTTGTAGTTCAACTATTGAAGTTTTTGTTTGATCATATTTATGAGAAAGTGGAGATGGTGCTTGAAAAGATCGAGTAGCAATACGTTTCCATTGTTCTATTTAAATACAAAAAACAAAAAAAAATTTAAAATTTTATTTCAAAAACTAAAAAAAAAAAAAGAAAACCTACCTGTATCTTGTAAACCAGGCATTTCATTTAATTGTACATCATCAAGCGTTGTTTCAAGTATAACATCATCGAATGATTGAATTTCTTGTCGAACAGTATGTGGATTTCTCTGATTGATATAAACGAAAAAAAAAGAAAAATTTTTATTTAAGTTTCTTTTTACATAAAAACAAAAAAAAAATATTTACTCGATGAAGTTTATCAACTGAAGTTGGATCTTGTTTATGATCAAAAGAAGTAATAATATTTTCTCTTGTTAACATGATGAAATTTCGATTGATATATCAAATACTAAGAGTATGTCCATTAGAAACATTCACTAAACAAAACAAAAAAAAAATTTTTTCACAATCATTTTCTTACAAAAATCGTTATTTTATATCTGTTGATAATATTTTTTTTCTTCTTCTTATTCAGTAACTAAACTCTACCTCATGAATGAATAAAATTATTTTGAATTGACACGTGTGTTTAATCATCCGTATAGATAAAAAAAAAGAAAGAAAGAACGATACTAATATTATATATTTCTTGTTTTTATTTATTATTTTATAACATTTGTCGATTATGAATAATGAAACAAAATAATAATTTATTGAACATAGTTTATTTATTAATATAATTTGAATGTTTAACAAATATAGTACTAATATCATTACTTATTTATTTACGCTTAGTTTATTTAAAAAACATACGTATAAATACAAGGGGCGTATGTGTTTTTGTTGTTCTTTAATACAATAAAAATAGCACAAAAATAAATATGAATATGTAAGATAAAATAAGAAGATTTAGGTAATAATGAAACGTATATATATATATACAAATAGCAGTTAATAAATCATAATTCGATGATTCATCTATCTATTTTATGATATAGACATTGCTTTGAAAGGACAAGGGCATATAATAATAATACATTTTCAAGTTTCAATCATAGATGTAAATATAATCTATCTTCATTGATATACCAAATAAATAGTTAGTAGTTATTTCGATAGAATTTTGTTTAGATTACATTTTCATAAATAGAAATATTCATTTAAAATAATATTTTATTATTTAAATTTTGAGTTAGAAATAATTCATATAAATTAATAAAATCTTCTTTCACACTTCATTATTGATAGAGTTTTTTAAACATTAGAAAACGAACGAATTAATATAGTGGAACAAAACTGAAACTATATGAAAAAAAAATTCTTACTTCATAAAGCCCTGATATTTGATAATTTTTTTAGCATAATAATATCCATTTTATTTCCAATAAATATCATGCTAGGAAGCCAACTTCTAAATTGACAAAATGTGAATTCGAAAACAAAAATATGATATTTGTTTAAAATGAAATCAATATTATTTCGATTAAAAATTGTCGAATATCAGATTTTATAAATTCGTAGAATAAAAGTTTTGTCATATGGTTCATCTTGTTAGACTATAAAAATAAATTCGTTTTGTAACGTTTGAAAGTTATAGTCTGAATAAAAACCTATCAATATAACTTTGATATCACTTTTTTTGGCCTTTATTTATTTAGTGTCAAGCGAATATTCATATTTTCTTGTTAGTGTCTATAACTATTAAATGTCTATTTGATATATCATGAAGATAGATCGTATTCACACATATGATAGAATCAAGATGATGAGAAACTCATGACCTTTGATTTTAGATTGAACTTCGATAATTAAAAAGATTCAAAATGTGTTATTATACGCTCTTATCCTTTCATCATGGCTTAATATTTCAATGGATTATGATAAATAAGATTCTCTTTTATCTTAATTTTGAAAGATAATAGCTATTAATAGGGTATGAGAGAAGAAAAAAAGTCATATTCATATCCAAAATAGAAATCATTGGCAAGACTATCACAAAATATAAAGTCTATGAGAAATTTCATAGAAGATTTCAAAATTTTCTGTTGTATCGAAACTACTGATTAGAATAAATCTACAATTACATTGTAATCACATACATAAAATATATAATGCTCGATTTATACCTTGCATATGTATCGATTATTATTTATCTCAAGAAAAAATAATTGTGAGATTTATTATGAATTTATTATTTAAAAGTCAAATGATTAAAAATAAATTATTCTAAAGTAACTCACGTCAGTGATAAACATATATAATAATTTTTTCTTTTAATCAATCGAGAATTATAAATACTTCTTCAAATATAGAATAACAAACTGTTGATGAAGCATTCTATATATTCTGATTTCTATGTTATTGATCAAGAATATGATAAAGTTCAACGATTTTCTATCGAATAGATTCACTACGTTGAATGATTATTTTTTTTTTCATTCTATCCAATAAATCATGATGAATAACAATAAGAGCAAATAAAATATTTCTACAACATTCTTCCAAAAGATTTTTGTGTCCAAAATTGCAAAAATTGTAGTATATCACTTTAATATTGACATATATTTTTTATATGAAATGTACGATCAAGTTTGAATCTGTTCAGAGGACATGATTTTTATCCATTGACGAATGATATCGAGTGATTGTGTATCAAACATTTGTCTTTTATGTCGAAAGAAAATAAGAAATATTCGACAACATGCTCGAAATGAAAGACTAGAACATATTGATAGAGATGAGAGATATTTCAGCGGTCTACAAACCAAGATTTCAATTTGTTAAATGAATCAGTAGAGAAACCATTCTCAACAAATAGATCATGAGCTAAACTAGCGAACTTGTTTGAGTAAGAATCCTTCTACATTTGTTGCGAAACTGTCGTATAATCTAAGGCATAAAATGTAAATTTTGCCTTGAATGATATTCTCTGTTGAGTGATGGAATCATAAAGAAAAACACTTTCAATAAGACTTTCATCAGCAAACAAAAGATATGAATTGAGAGTGGTGGTATATCAATAAAACTTCTAGGAGATTGAATCAAATAAATTTATATCCACTACGTTCAACAAGAATATAGAGTGAAAGAGGACATGTCTTCACTTCATTGCTAAACCGACTTCAAAAACTTGTTTTTATAAGATTTATAAGACCAATGTCAAAAATATCGATAGAAACTTCATATTCAAGTCAGTAGAAACCGGAATTTTGTAAAGATCGTTTTGACAAAGTTCAATCAGAGAATGAAGAAAGAAGTATAAGTCGAATAGAGAACCAGAAACAATAATATCAGGAGAGTTTGATGAAGTTAGCTCAATGAAATATAAGTTGCGCAGTGGCAGAAGAAGATTATCAACAACAAGATTCATATTTGGTTTAACTTTAAAAGTTCCATCATTCAGTTTCATTTTCATCGGTCTCTTCAGTACAGCCAGTTCATCCGAATCCAAAACAAATTAGATATAGTCAATAAACAATAAACTGAATAAATTAGTTGTCCTTGCAAAACTTTGACGATGACGTCTTTACAGTATTCTCAAATGAAAACAAAACAAAACCTGATTTATTGGAAGTCAGAGAACATATGTCGTAAATCCATATGAAGATAATAACTCGACGAATTAGTGAAATAATATAGCACAAGTAGGAATAATCATAGAACGAATTTCACTATTAAAATTGAGTAATTGGCTTACGTCAAATCATGCTAAGACAACATCTTGAAAATGTACTACAAAGTTGACTGCTGTTTAACATGACAGTGAAGCTCGTTTTCATAAAAATAAAATTAATTTTGATTGTTCAATTGAACAATTTATTGTCAAATTAGATAGTATACTTCCATAATTTACCTAAGATTACTAAGTTATAACAGTAAAAAGAACTGAAAAATAGTTCATATGAGAATTTCATAATGACTATTCAATCAAGTGAATTTCAAATTATTACTTTTCTTCTTACTAAGATAAATCCAAAGTATTGCATTGAAGAATATATAATGATTATTCAAACAAATTCAAAGAGTATATGAATAAGACACAAGTTTATAAGTTCCTAAGAAACAAATAATATATTATCAAATCTAATTGAAAAATACAAATAAATATGTATTAAATTTATAATTAACTAAATGAATTATTAAAAAAAAAATATACAATTATGTAATTATTTTACGTTTTAAACATTCAACAATAAAACGTTAGAAATCCTTGAATAAAAAAAAAGCAATATATTAAATAATAGAGAATGTCTTAAGTAACTTTTTGACATGAAAAGATTTACTTTTACTTATGTTTATATTAAAGAAAAAAGCAATCGAAGTATCTAAAAATAGCGTTTTCATTCATTTCATCCAGTGATATTTTATAACTTGTTCAGTCTATAATTCACGAATGATTGTTCCAGTTCATTTAAACTTTCAGATTAAAAAGTTAGATTAGTAATGATAGTTTCAATCATATAATTTATACTGTTTCAAATCTAATCAAATTGTATAGTGACATTTTTTTTCTGCAGATATTTTCAATTAAATCAACTCAAAAATATTCTTTCTTATTAAATATAACACAATAAATAAATTTAAATGTGTAGACTAACTTGTTGTTGACTATTCACTTTCTATGAGCAAAATTGCAAAAAATGATTTGAGTATTTTCATCTACTAAAAACAAATGTTGTATTTTCTTTCGATAATGAAGAAATATTAATAATTGCTTTAAAGTTTTCTTAATTTGGAAAAAGAAAACATTATTTATTTCTTAAGAAATGAATCGAACGACGTAAAAAAATTAGTTATCTATGAACTTTGTAGTTTATGATGAGAATCATTATTTAGATATAACTCGAAAATTTGAAAGATACAAAAATAATTGAAATTTTGATTCGCTACTATATATTATAAATATTTTTCGTACAAAAAACATGTCTTTTTTGAACCTATATCCCTAAAGTAGATATATTAGAAATAGTTTTTAAACAATATCAATGTAAATGTCAGTTAAACAAATATTGAATTGAAATAGAATGGTATTATGCTTAAGTGATATGAAAATGAAACATTTGACCAAGGATCTTCTCTATAATATGCTATTACTGACATTTTCAAAGCGTTCACTGAGTTTTTTTTTCAGAATAACTCAATTGTATGAGCTTGTCTAAGACATTCTATAGCTATAGATCTATTTATTTTTTCGTGCGTACGAGTTATTCCAAAGGAGAAAAAAAAGAATCTATGGGATTTTCCCATTCAAATGTGTCATATTTTCATCCTCTTAGAAAGAAAAAAAAACAACAACTTATTTCCCATCAAACTCAGTCTAATTCCTTGTATTCTTTGCTATATTGTGTTATATGTCAGAAAAATATTTTCCTCTATAATCTTTATCCCTCCTTTATATTTATATAAAACATTCATAATATAAAATATTTTCTATATAAATATAGAAGCAAACTTCAATAACTTCATTCATCCATTAATAATCATTTTCTATAACACTAAACAAGTAATTTCAAGTAGGATAGAAGTATTCATGTTATTTAATTCTATGTTTTATTTCCGTAGTTTTCATTCATCAAACAAATATTATAGATCGAAGCACAAACAACTTCATAAGAAGCACGTAGATATAACTTTGAATTGTTTATATTTGTAAAACTAGTGTCAAAAGAATCTTTCTCAAATATAAATCAATATAATATTTATTTATTCATTCTATAAATTATGAGCTATATAAAGCAAAGTATCGTTTTTTTTTTTGTTGTTATTATTTCTTATTCTAAGTGTTCAACTTCTAATATAACTAGTTTCTTAATATATTCTTCATTATTTCTATTTAGACCTCTCTTAACTAACATTATATGATGAATTACATACAATTTATATGCATAATTTTATTTCTACAACAAACTATCATGATTCAATGTGAAAAATTTCAAGTAAAATCAAAAGAATTAGAAACTCTCAATTCTGAACAATCCTTAAACGACAATGAAGTCGATGCGATGGCAGCTTCAGAAGAAACAAACGAGCATACTTTCTTTCTTCTCATCGCTGGACCGATTGACACCTTGATTTCAACAGCTATCTATCTAGCACCAAAAGAATCTACAATTGTGTATAATAATCATAGTAACATCGATATAACTCACATTCAAAAAGAATATCCAGAACAAATGGCAAGTATAGGTCGAGGTCTATATGTGGTATTTGCATCATCTCCACAATGTGATAAGATATTTTGCATGAAATTTGGAAATAATATCAGATTTTTCAAGACATGCAGTTCAGAACATTGCTTTTGTTCAAATGGTCAACCACATTTACAACATTGTGGTTATGGTACTGTTTTTGATCCACTTCATAAAACTTGCAATCAACCTCAAATTGTTGGCTGCTAAAATAAAATGCAAAAAAAAATTCATTCATATTCAATTCTAACTTTTGAAAATTCTCGTAATATATATCTGCTGCTTATTTTCTGTAGAATTTCTTTTTTTTGCAATTATCTTATTTGAAATATTGAAATAAAGATTTATCGTTTATTCAATTGTATATATGAAATGCAAAAATGCTGCCATCATTGGATTTTCTATAGTTTGACTAATTGCAATACATTTTATAATAGTATCAATACAATAGATAGATAAGTGAATATGTATGAGTTGTTCTTACAAATAATCGCCTTGTATTCTGAGATTTGATTTTTGAAAAATTTTGTGTTGTCAAACAAAGTAGAAAAATGTTCAAAAATTGTCACAACTATTATGGCAATATTTGAAATGCAGAAAGATTTTCTTCATTTCACTTTTAATAAAATGGATTAAATGAAAACATAGCTAAATCTTATAAATTCTAGACATTCAAAAACCAAAAAAAGTAAACTTATGTTTTTCAAAGTGATCATATACTTTTTGAAACTTTTTATTACACCTTCATATTGAACAATTATAGGAATACTTTAATATATAAATTTATATTCTTCCTTTACTTGAATTGATAAATTTATTATACAATTCAATTTTTATAGGTGAGCAATTAGAGGTTATTAGAGCACAAGGTAGTGCAAGGAGGAAACTGCGGATTCCGGATTCCCATGGGAATCCTACGAGAGTTCCGAGAATCCATGAAAATCCCGATCTCCCGTGGGATTCTCGGAATTTTATAATCACAAATGACGTTTCCGAAATTCAAATTTAACCTTAATGATCCTCACTCTTGTCCTGAAAATCTCATAGAAGTCAGTGTCAAAGCTTCACTGCTTTATCACATGGTTAGAAAAACTAAACTATTGAGGAAAATCATTGCCTAGGCGAACTTGTTTTTCATATGCTTGATCTATCCAGATTTCAAGGCTTATCCATAGCACATCATTTTCTTGTTCAAGAATTTCAAGAAATCCACGTGCATGAGAGAAAGAACTTCATTAATGTCGTGATTAAAAGCAGTAAATATAGTTTCACAAGTCGAACTTATTCTCAAGTGAAAAATGTTCAATCTGGAAAGTGATTGAAACTCGAAACTACCCTTAGTTGCACACAGTGTTCTTTCTTATGCGCATGAAATGTACAGCCCTCAAGATTTGTCCATGGCGCATGCTGTTCTTGCTCCAGATGCTCATGTATTTCATGTACATAGCCTCAGAGAGTTTGTTAAGGTTATTTATTTTGAAAATTCGATAAACTTAACCTAATGCGATGGATATCAAGTTCATTATGACAATACAGCAGTTTACTTTCTTATTTTTACGGGTAAATATCCTAGGTAGAATAACAAACAGTAGCAAGAAATAAGATAAATTAATGAGTAATACAAGAAACATGTCGAATCAAATGAATCTATGGAATCTTATGTGTAACCATTTACTCATTCAGTAATATGATAGCTGAACATGCTTAAATCAATCAGTTAGCAGCACAGCCTTCCTGTCTACTAAGAGACAAGAGGCTCTTTATCTGTGGCTATATTGTTTTTGGCATCAATTTTGACACAAGAGAAAAAGAGTTTGAGAGTGAAGAAGAAAATGGTTTGCAGACTGTTATTACATGAAATTGAGTTTCATTGCTAGTGGACAAAGAAGACAATTATGAATTTTGTCTTAGAATCAGGTATATTTATCTAATTTGGACAAGAAGAGCAACATTAGATTTGAAGAGTACTAGCTTGACTCTTGATCCGATGAGTTGTAATTATTTTCGTTAGAGTAAACAATACGGATCTTTTTTCCACATTAGACTCGTACAAATAATCTATTTTGTTTTATCGCAGATTCTCTTGTTGTCTTTCAAACAAAATTAAGATCAAATATGGAGAGAAGATTACAGGCTCGATGATAAATCTGTCTAATAGTTTTTTAAAATTATCATAAAGGAGAAGATCATGAAATAATTTTGAAGCTGATTGTTTCGAAGCAGTCTCTTTCTTGTACTTTGTGACGTCTTTGGAAAGTTTACTGAAAATTGGTACTGACTGAATTTGCCCGGTCTTTGCTTGAATATTTGAGATCCTCATCAAGTTCCGCATTTCTATTCTTTTGTTTCTATCGGTCTGCCTTTTTCTCGAGGATTCAATTGGTGCCTTCAAGCTTTTCCTTGAATTGTGAAGGTCGAGTGATATTTATTCTTTCACAGCAAAAAATTAGTCCAATGATCACTAAGTCTAGACAAATTGCTCATACGATATGCATCAATACTAGTGACACAAAAGAGCTCTTCTGCTTCATTTTTCTCTACCCATGAAAGAACAGCAAAAACCAAAGTAATATCGATTAGGGTGTGGGTAGAAGCTGCCATGACCGGTTTCGACCTTGCTTAAGGGTCTCATCAGCTGGCATAGTTCTAGTTCTCTAACTAGGAGTTGAACATTCGATTTTTGTCGTAGCCCTTAGGGTTATGATGAATTGAATAATGCCACCTAATGAGACCCTTCAGCAAGGACGAAACGGTCGTGGCTGCTATGCTAATTGTTTACTCATTGTTGTTCTCATAAGAAGCGATAAAATAAAAAATAAAATATTTCTTCTCACTTTGTATTCGCCATGAACAACAGATGAATTGTACACATATTACACGGATTCTTGATAAAAATCAATTATAAGAGTCGTAAGATTTTGACGCGTTCAACACCAATGATAGAAAGCTAAATGATTGTATTTCGCATGTCTCTTGAAGAAGTCATCTCGCCTTTTTTTTCTTTTCATAGCTGTTCGTTCACATGCTGAGAACAAGACCAATAATTAACTATCACGTGCTGTGATAGGCCAATAAGGGAGAGACAGTCTTCGTATACGGAAATAAGTCTTATTAACGTATTATTATCTTAAAATCAATCTTGTTCTTATCAGCATTCAGACTCAAAAGAAAATTTCATATTTTCAATAAGAATCAGTGCAATTGATACTGCATGTAAAAAAGGGTGTGGGTGTGTGTGAGCGTGGGTGTGAGTGTGAGTGGGTGTGTGTGCGTTTGAGTGTGGGTGTGGATCTTTTTTACATCACCATCCATTTCTACACCCATACCCACACCCACACCCTTTTTTAACTAACTATCGCGGCAGCGGCGCGGTAGCGCTAGGTTTTTTTGGAGAACAATGCAAAAATGCATAAATTCGAACAGAATTTCAATGTTTGCAAGTGCAAAACTATGAGATTCAACGAATCTTATCGATTGGTAACAACAGCTCAAGTCCTGAACAGTCACAGATCGTAAAATTCACAACATTATTCTAACAATCATCGCGGCAGCGGCGCGGTCGCGACATGGTTATTTTTGGTGGCGTCGCGGCAGCGGTGCGGTAGGTTTTCTGTTTTTATCACCGCGGTGCGGTAGCGACGCGTTAGCTTTTTTCTTTTATCGTCGTGGCGCGGCAGCGGTCAGTTTTCAACTGCGATGGACATCTCTGCTCCGTAATCATCGCATACGGGAAATATACGCGTTAAGATACGTTTATCATGCCCCATCTCTGTGTTATTATGTTTCATTAGGCATACGAATAGAGGTCGTGATATTTTTAAAGAGGAAAAAAAAGAAATGGAGAGTATCAATGGCTTCTTACAAAGGATCGTATGGTACAATCCCATGTAAAAATAAGTGAACCAAAAGTCACTTTTTATCACTTTTAATAGTAATAAAGTAAAACAAAGTAACTTTTCTTACTATTTTTCGCTTTTTATAGTACTTTTTGATAATTTATCCACTTTCTATAGTACTTCCTCATACTTTTCCTACTTTCAAAAGTACTTAACAGTAATTTTTAGTCAAAAAGTATGAAAAGTACTTAAAAAGGTTCACTCCCAGGACGAGCATTACGATAGCCGTAAACGATCGTATACGACGTCGTATTCGATCGTGTACGGTCGTATACGGTGTAAATTACGATCGTATACGACCGTATTTCGCCGTATTACTTGACGCCAGATTTACGACCGTATATCGTCGTGTCGTATACGACGAAATACGACCACCGTACACAGTCGTATACTATGTGGATTGTCATCGTATTTCATTCAAAATTTTGCTACCTACCCTCCCCCCTCCACCCTCCCAACTCTGCAAAGATGGAAAAGTTAATCTTTGTTGTGTCCAGTCTGACTGGAGCTCCCAATTCTTATTTCTCATGCAGCTTTGATGATATATCACCAAAGCTGCACGAAAAACAAGAACTTGAACTTCCAGCCAAATTGGACATCCCCATTCCATTACATTGATACTTTATGATTTTATTTGTCCTTTTGATAATCTAAAAAATAAAAAATAAATTTATTTAATCTAAAAAATAAAAGTTAAAGTTGATCTAATCTAAAAACAAAAAAATAAAATTCATTTAATCTAAAAAATAAAATTTATTCAATCTAAAAAGTAAAATTTATTCAATCTAAAAAATAAAATTGAAACTTTTTCTAATCTAAAAATAAAAAAAAAATTTATTTAGTCTAAAAATAAAAAATAAAATTTATTTAATCTAAAGATAACAAAATAAAATTTATCTAGTCTAAAAATAAAAAATAATATTCATCTAATCCAGAAAAAAAAAGAAAATTCATCAAATAGTAAATTATTTATACAATCGAAATATTAGTATTAGATATAATCTAATGTATAATTTACTATACTAATGCTGAAGTCAACATTAAAAAATATATAAATTGATAAAAATAACGATTTCAGACTCATTCAAAACTGAAGATCTAATATCATCTGACTAATTTCTATTGGGTAAGGAATATCTCTCTACTTCATAAACGAATTACTCGTTGACAATAACGACTATACAGTATAGTACTATCTGAATGTCTCTCTATCCGTATAGCTAAATATTAGATGAAATGAAAACAGACTGTATAAAGTAGGAAGTATTCATCCTTTTACTGCTATAAACTGATTAATTTATGTAAGACAAAGCTCATATATATCAAATACGAGATACCTATCTGATGTTAAGAATTGAGTACTTAATGGAAAAAGAATGCAGATATACATACATGCATACAAAATAGACAGGCTATGTCTGCTGCCGTTACAGATATTATTACTGAAGAGTAATATCTCTGTGTTCAAATCTATACTTGATCGAAGAAAAAACGTCGAACATAGTTTTAAATAAGAGGTATATTTGTTTTATTCCTTTCAATTGAGTGTCAGAAAAAAAAAATTTGTAAAGGAATAAATGTGTCTGATACTGATAAAAATTACATTTTTTTAAACAGACGACATCTGTTTTCTCTTGGTATGAACAGATATAGAAACAGATATTGTTTGTCTTATTTGTCGATAACAATAATATAGAAAATGCTAACTTCTTACCTCTTATTTTTCTATATTGCTGATATGACAAATCTTAAGTTTTATTTCTTATATTTCTATATTGGATATATAGAAAATCCTATTTTTTATTTTTCTATATTGGTTATATAGAAAATCTTAATTTTTATTTCTTATTCTTCTATCTTGATGACATAGAAACAGTTAGTTTTGTGTCTTATCTGTTTATAGTAGTAATATAGAAAATGCTGATTTTCACATCTTATTATTCTACATTGGTGATATGAGAATCTTATTTTTTTTATTTTTCTACATTGGTAACAAAGATAACTATTTGTTTTATTTCTCATTTTTGCATATTGCTGATATAGAAAATATTTTTTATTTTTCAATTTTTCTATATTAATAGTATAGAAAATCTTAATTTGTATTTCTTATTTTTCTATATTGATGATATAGAAGCAGTTAGTTTTGTGTCTTACTCGTCTATAATAATAATAATATAGAAAATGCTAATTTTTCTTTCTTATTTTTCTATATTAGTAGTACAAAAAGTCGCATTTTTTTTCTTACTTTTCCATATTAATAATGCGGATGATCATATTCTTTAGTTTTTTTGTTTTTTCTATATTGGTAATGTAGAAAATCTTAACTTTTGTTTTTTATTTCTCTGTGTTAACGGTATAGAGAGTAAAATTTTTTATGCATGAGTTTTTGTGACTATTATGCTATGAATTTTATTATGTAATGATAACTGCCGGTGTAGGCACCTATGCATCGGGTTCAGTAAGTAAAAAGATCTGGGCTATGTGAAGTTAAGTTGAACTATAGCTGCCAGGGAAGGTGAAACATGACGAGAATGTATGTTTTTAAAGAAATCAGTTAAAACCTTACTGTACGATTTTTTTATAATCATACAATATTTTAGTGTTGGAGCATCTAAGAAACTTGCTAGAAGAATTGACATCAGATTTCAAAGACGACAATTTTTTATATGATTTTTTGTATCATCTTGTATGAACACATACGATTTTTGAGTAACATCGAATAGGATCATACAAGAATTCATAACTGATCTTACTATGTAATTTTTCGACCTGGGTATGGTCGACACATGTAGCTCAACTTACGACTAACTTACGACCATATACAGTCGTATACTATACTCGTACACGGCAGTCGTTTATTTCAACGTATACGTTGATTGTATTTGAACGTATGGCACCGTATACGTTCATCGTATACGATCGTCGTGTACGATGACCGTTTCTAGACGTATTTCGTCGTATACGACCGTTTACGATAGTGCTTTTTTGACCTGGGCTTATAAGTACTTTGTCCTGCTTAAAACCTACTATTGAAAGTACTTAATAGTCACTTTTTTGGGTAAAATGTTTTACATGGGATTCTTTTTCAGTGTTTTTAAGGCCCCCTCAGAAAATCCAATTTTTCAGAGATAAGCCGAAATTGAAGTTTTATCATAGGAAGATGCAATGAAGTCTCCTCTTTCGGAATATCTATGGTTTATTGCAAAATGAATTGATTTTGACGAACTTATCGCCTAAAACTTGGCTTCTACTATCACATTTTTCGAGAAATTTTCATGGTATTTTTTCAAGGTTTTTTGACTTTTTAGGCTCCTTTCTCTTTGCATCATCATTTCGTAAGATCTTTTTTTATACTAATCACTATGAGACTATTAAAACATAATATTAAGATCACATATTTATGGCCTGTCTTGAACGCTGATATATAAATCAAGTTATTTTCGGAAAAATCGCTTTCTAATACTTATTTTTCGTTTTTCTCAAAATTAGGTTTTTCGTCATGCAATTTACGCGGGCAAGTTTTTCTCCATAACGAATCGACATGGAAGTGATAATTTTTTTTATTATATAGAAGACATGTAGGGCTAGGACTTATCATGCTCGGATTTTTAAATTTTTCTTTTGCTGAAATAAAAAGCTAGGGCACTTTATTTTCATTAGCACCTAAAATTTGAAAGTTTTTCGAAAAACGTCTTTTAAAAATTAAATAAAGGGAAATTCAAAAATCAGACCATGATAAATCCTAGCCCTAAGGGTACTCTACAATCTAAAAGCTGTCCCATCACTCTAGCTGGTATCTTTATTGCAAAAAACTTGCCCTATTTTTTACCAATAAAGAGCCTAGAACTCATGTATAACTTTGAGATTTGGAGGAGATATTTTAACCATAATATATCCTAGCCAAGACCAACATTCCCTGATATTTTGATTGAAAACGGATAAGAAAATAACAAAGTTCGTTCCTGAGGGGGGGGGGGCGGGGCTTAATATTAACATTTTTAATTCAGTTAGTCTATTTTAGGCCTTATCAAATTCATATTTGAAATTTCTATTTCTCTTTTCAGATTTTGTATTTTGTTTCTTTTTATATACACTTTCTTCGTTTATTCTTGTTGAATATTAGGTATGTATTCTTATTCTTATTGGATATTTGTTTTTATTTATTCTACACATTGATAGTGAAAAAAACAATTTAGAGTAATAACATTTAAATTTTGTCAAATGAATCTTGTGTACATTTTTGTAATTATCTGTAATTTTATTTTATTTTTTATTTTTATTTTGTTTTTGTCGTAGAGGAACATATTTTCTATTAAAAGCTGCGAATAGAAGTAGCTTTGTTTCTTTTTTTTTTTGAATCAATCGTTTGTCATTGTACTTTGAGATACTTTCTCATTTAGAAAAAATGTACTAACAAGTACTTTATAAATTGAAACCAAATATCTAAATGTACTCTGTTGTCGATTTCTATTAATCAACGTTGTTTTTTTCTTTTATTTGTTAAGGAAAACATACTGCTGATCGATTCTTTTCTCGAATCAAACATTTCTGTTTAAATTAAATTTATTTTGGATCAATCTTGATATATATATATATATATATTTCTGAAGGTAGTGTGAAAATTTTTTTCAATTGTAATCTTCATTTTCAAATTAGACATTGAAATCTTTTCTAGATTTGAAATGAATGAATCTATTCTTAGTCATCTTCTTCTTTATGAACGTTTATCTGGGGATTTACTTTTGTCTCAAGACAAAATACGAGTATTAGGTGTGACAGACCAATCAAGATTTCTTTCTAGTCTTGCTCTTGTTTTAAATGGAAGTACAACATGTACAGCTGTTTATGTTAATCTATCTGATAAAATTGTATTTATTGCTCGAAATGAACCCATCACAATAAATGATGAACAATATTTCGATCGATTTTTTCGTCAAATTCGAATTTATGCTACCTTAACTAGTTTATGTTCATTCAGAGACAAAGCAATAGTAGAAGCTCGAGATCAATTGGATTCTCTTGTATTTGAATATAATTCGAAGAAAATGATCAAATATTTTATTGGTCGAAATTCTACAGTCATTGATGGATTAAGACAAATGGTTAAATGGAATACAAATGAAAAATATCATTTTGTTGAAGAACTTCGTTCAAATAAAGAATCTTACACAGATGATCCATTAATGACCGAAAAAGTCTATTTAATATTCAAAAATTACACCGAAGAAGATTATATGGATTTTTTATTGAAAAAAGTCGATGAATTCTTAACAGCTCGTGATCAACTATTTAGAAATCAAGTCAATCCATCTGAGCATCAGCTCATGTTAGCAGCACGACTTGCAATGATACTTTATCAATCACGTTTATTTCAATTTATACTTAATCATTCGATAGGAACAGCTGATAAAGGTGTTTATTATTTCGAAAAGACATCGGCTCATATACGAGCAGAAACTGTTCTTTTAAAATCTTTACTTAATAATAAAGAACGGTTTGGTCAAATATATAAAAATATCTCATGGAAACTCGTTCCACCAATTCAACAAACACATCAATTAAATATTACTCCACGACAAGCATTTGAAAACATCTTCAAAAATCTACTTCATTCATCAAATGAAATTATCTCGAATATTCTTCAAAACACTACAAGTGATTCTTTTTATAATCAATACTTGGTAAAATTAAAAGAAATTGACGAAAAACCTGTTTATGTTGGTCATTTACATGCCGAAATTTTACTTATCGATTATATTTTAAATAACAATATCAAGCAGGAAGATCATTTCAATCAAATTGAGATAGGCATTTCGAAAATGCCTTGTTTACCATGTTCTTATTATATTGCTGCATTAAATAAAACACATAGTCGTTGTTTTTATCACTCTGATGCAACACGTGGCAAACTTTATGGTAAATGGATATATAGATCCAACGAAGATCCATCTATCATTAATGAAATTAATGACAAATTAATTGAAAAAATTCAAAATTTAATTCAAAAAATATTAGTCGACAGTGGTCGTGATGGTCGTCCAAAAAAAAGTGGCGATAGCGACATAATGTACACTTCAATGGAAGGTGATGAACTTGAAGAACAAATATATCGTAAAATTGATTTTTAACAAGATCTTGGCATGTTTTCTTAGATTTCCATAAAATTCAATCTATTCTTTTGTATTTTTAGAGTGGCTGTTATTGCTTGTGGACAATTTCAAATTTTATTAACATTTTTTTTGCTAAGATCTTGATTATGTTCTTTTGTTGTTTTTTGTTATTTTTTATTGATTATTAAAAGAACTTCATTGAACTAATTGTTTGTGTTCATCGTTTTGATGTTTTTTCTCTGGTGGAATAAGTTGTTGAGAGAATATTGGTGAAGAAGTTGTTTCCTGAGAAATGATCTACACAACATACTAATGTAGACAATTCTATGATATGATCGATTGTAAGAAATGCGGTGCGAAGCACAGCATTAATTAAAGAAAGCAGTATTGGAGGATATAGCGAGAAAAGTGAATTACCTACCTTTAAGGAAAAATTATTTCTCTTAATAACTTAAGAAGAGTTTTTCTTTTGCTAATCAGAAATAAATCGACTACTAAAAAAATCCTTCTGTAATTTTGCTTTCATTCATCACTTTTTTAAATTTGTCAAAAAAAATAGAAGATTTCAATTTCTAAAAATTGTGTTCAATACCCCAAAAGTTTATTTAATATTCATATAACAGACATGATATACACAACATATATAAAGTACTTGCGGAATAAAAAATAATGAATATTTCAATCAAGACATATCCGATGATTGTGTACGAAAACTATCTACGGCTGCTCCACTATCAAGTTTCATAATACGTAATGCATCAATTTTTGTTGTACACATCGGACATATATCAGCTGTACTCCGATATCTTAAAAAAAAACAAAATACAAACAAAAATAAAATCTAACAAGCTTCTATTTACTTTAAAAATTCTGAATAAATTGCCGGAAAATTACATGATGGACATAAAGATAAATCTTCTCGAATAACATGAGCTCCCTAAATTCAAAAAAAAAGAATAAAATTTTAAATTTCATTAAAAAGAAAAAAGGAAAACGTCGTACAGTAACAATACAATAAGGTAATGCAAGTTGACAACTTGGACATTAGAATTCATAATTAGGTACACGTTGATGACAATGTAGACATTGAGAAAAATCTTCTTCACTTTCACTTTTATTTGGTTTTCTAAATTACAGAAAAAATCTTTTTTTTTTCTTTTTTGGTTAATTTTAAAGCTTTCGACACTAAAGATATGTTTTCTTCAATCATGAATGTGATAAAAACGTTTCTAAATTTTTAGTAGAAAGTGCAAAAGCGACGAGGCTTTTATTAATATACAACGAGATTTTACCGAATATGGTCCTAATTTAGAAAGATCTGTTCACGTGTACTGCGCCGATTAGATCCTATGACCATGAGAAAGATTTTTTCGTATCGAAAATTTAAAGAACTTTTTTTTTCAGATTATGCTGCAAAAGAGTATTGAAGTAACTCCATAGTAGGTTTTCAATAGATTGCTCTCTCCTATTAGCTGTTTTTCAAAAGTTTTCTAACTCGGAATTAATACGTTGCTATGATGACGGAAGCAAAATATTGTCCATATTGAATGTAGATATTATTATGAATATAAATATTGAAAAAATTCAATAAACTCTAGAAATTATTTTGCCAGTACGGCTTCATGAGACAGCAAAGTATAGAACTTACAAACTCTGATTATTATAAATTTATAGTATACTGTTAGAGGAATTAAAATAATTTATTTAAAAAAAATGCTAGAGGAAATCTTCTAGTATATCGAAGACTTTATTTAATTTTCTTACCAAACAAGTGCTTCAATTTTTTTCTTATATTTTGGATCAATTTGTTCACGATATTCGGGTCTCATAAGTATAAGTGAAAAATTAAATGCTGAATTATTCATTCCTGCTTTTTGACATTCAATAACTGTTGTTGTTAAAAGGGTGGGTGTGGGTGTGTGGGTGTGGGTGTGGGTGTG